TTTGTTTGTTTGTTTGTTTGTTTTGTCTTGTTTTGTTGTGTTTGTTTTTGTTTTATTTTGTTTGGTTCTGTTTGTTTGTCTGTCTGTCTGCCTGCCTGCCTGCCTGGCTGTCTGTCTGTCTGTCTGTCGGTCTGTCGGTCTGTTTGTCTGTCTGTCTGTCTGTCTGTCGGTTTGTTTGTTTGTGGTTTGTGTGTTTGTGTGTTTGTGTGTTTGTGGTGGCTTCTGAAGGAATCGGCAAGGCAGAAAAGCTTGATAAAACACAAGAACGTCTAATTATGGCGCTGCAGGCTTCAACCAATGCAGAGTTCCTTCGACACTTGGCTCCGTCGCAAGAATGGCGGCAGGATTTGGCCACACTTGTGTCATCGACCATCAAGGCCGGGCGACAACGCCACCTTGCAACGAGGGGAACGAAGCAACGGGGGTTTGCCGTAAACGGGGACAGGTTGTCCGTATAACAGAAAGCCGCCTGTTTCCCGCAACAAGTTCAGCACAGCGCATGGTGACAAAAAGCACATCCTGCGGACCCTCCTGTCCGATCGTGACTGTTGTGTCGGATCCTAAACACAGGGACCGCTTTTCGGTCCTCGAGTTCTAGGGATTCAGACCTCTCAAACTTGTCGAAAGCTAGACATCCCATGTCTACTGCGGAATCCGACTTTAGCGATGAAGCTTGCTGTAGAAGTAGAAGCTTCTGACAGTTGCCTTCAAGCAGCGGGACTACCTACTGCCATTCGCCATTGCCACCGGTGCCGGCAGCGCTGGAGTTCAGGGTTTAGGATTTAGGGACTTCACTGGCGAGCTCAGTTCAAGCCTGTGGAAAAGGGACTTCACTTCCCTGACAGACAAATACACACATATGAAGACAAATGAAACTATCTGCCACGAGTCAATCTTTCATGCATCACGTTGAACCCATGAAACTACAGCCAATGCACATGCTCTCACGACGATCAGCCTGCCGGCTTGTCCGTCAGCTTCGGCGTGCATGTGAGAAACACGCATAAGACTGGTTGTTGGTGCCTGCTTCTCTATGTAGCCGCACCCGCTCGTGTGTGTGTGTGTGTATCCCAATGCATCGATTTTGCTGTTATGTCTTCTTTATTTCAGGCCTGCCAGTGGGTGACCGGTTTTCGGTCATCGACCGTGCGAGCATAAACGCCCTCCCTGTGCGCGCCTCGCCGGTTTCGGTCTGCAGTTCCAGTGCCGTGTTCCTGTTACGCCGGCCCCCGGGTTGCTGTTACCACGGCCGCGGGTTTCGGTTACAGTTTGCGGGAGCGGTTTCCGTTACTCCCAAAACTGGTTCCCGTTACTCCCCGCACCCACGAAGCAACACTTGTATGCAGGCCAGCTCCATTGCTTCGGTGACAATTATTCCGGCCAGTGCACCATCCCAGAAGGACTGGGCCATTGTCAGGCGGTGGCAGCAGGCTTCCGGCACACCTGCGTTATTACCGAAGACTGCTCCCTCGTCTGCTTCGGTGACAACGGACCCTCGGCTCGCATGTTAGCAACTTCTTCATGGCTCGAGATCCACGACAAGTCCGGCATGTGGCAATTAGCAAGTCTCGCAGATGATGTCGTTTTTGAACACCATAAAACTTAAAACGGACGGCGGGGCCACGAGAGCGCTTTCTATGTCAATGTGCTTGTGCATGCTTGTGCTCAGTGGGTCGGATAATCATGACGCACTTGCTTCTCCTATGGGACCATCTGTCAAATCACATGGACCTCACACATGCAGATGCGAGATGCATAACGGTCGTGTGCATGAAAGTACCCACCCAACAATCTTGCACGAGTCAACCTGACCATATGTGTCAACACGATGTCTATGGATCCACCTTCCGGCAGTCTCGTTGCGGCGACCGCAGCCCCGGCCGATAAGTTCCAAAGCGGCAGCTAGATGAACGGCGTCACACTTCAGAAACCGAGGCTGCGGCCAGTGCGATGTTCCGGATGACCTGGGACCCGTGAGGTGCAGCTTGTCCAAAATTAGCAAGACTCCGCTATGCTCCGAGAACATAAGGTTGATTGCTGCGGGCGACTTTCACACCTGCGCAGTGTCACAAACCGGCCTGCTACGATGCTTCGGAAGCAATTCCTCCGGCCAGTGCGAGCATCCGAAGACATTGACGGAGGTGATTGTGGCCCGGATTGACTGTTCGGTTGCAGGTTGTCTCCAAATCACATGCTGCTTGGATGCATGCGCAAGCCAAGGCGGTGGCTGCTGGCGCAAATTTTACTATAGCCTTGTCACTGGACGGCAAGATCTCCTGTTTTGGAGCCTCTGGGCACGGGCAGTGCGACTTGCCAGAACAGTTACAAGCGATGGTGTTACAGGACCAGGACCGACTCTGCACAATGCCATGCCTTGCCTGCAGAGAGGGCGTAGCTGTAAGGCCCGTGCTGCAAGGGTTTGACAACTGGCAGACCGGTGCGCTTGCGATGGTCAGGAGATTCAGGAGCTAGAGGAGCCCGAAGCATTGAGTTCTCCAAGTTTGAGTCCGGTCGCCGCAGACGATCCTGAGCCCTGCCGTGATTTGCTAGGCGGACGCCTACTGAGCAAATTGCACTACTAATGGTGTTAAGGACCTTGCTGATATAGACCCGTTTCCTCCTCCGCTGCCTGGCTGAACAGAAAGTGTGTGTTTGTGCACACTCCGAGCGCGATTCTATTTACATCGCGATTCAGATGAACACAGGCCCGCAGAAGAAGATGCCTTCTCGGCAGGGGCAGAGGCAGAGCCTTCGATGCATGCCTGTTTTGTCTTCAAGCATCAATTCCCTGGAAGCCTAATTTAATTACGGTGGCGAGGGCTGAATTGACTCCGGAAGCTGAGGATCCACAATTGGGAATGGCGTCGACTATGGACAGCTTTGCTGAGAGTTTCACCACTATGGATACTTCAGCGAGCGAGCATCAGGACGGAGTCAACCGGACGCATGGAGACCTTTCCGAGCATGGCTGTTCACACTTTGCCAGGAAGCTGAGCCTCAGCAGAACCCAGAGGAACAGGCACAAGCCAGGATACAGGCCCAGAGCGCGTGGAGCCCACGCGGGGCTGATGCCGCGCTGCCATGGACACGTTGATTTCTGGAACTGAGAGGCCTTACATCTGCAGATTGCTGACGCGTGGGAGCAGGCCTGTGTTTCAAACTGTCACCAGACCCCTGGACAAAAACACGGGCTGCCGAAGGCCACTGCAATGGCGAAGCGATTTGAAGATAATGTTCGAGGACTTGTGGCTGGCAGTTTCCACTGCTGTGTCATCCTCGCAGATGGTGGTTTGGTGTTCTTTGGTGCGGCCTGACTGCAATGCGGTGCGAAGTGGATAGACCGTTCATCGCCCGGGCAAGTTCCAGCAATCGGCTTGGCTGCCAAGGATGACAGTGCCAACCAGTGCACAGTACCAGACGGCCTTTCTCCTTTCATGCAGCAGCTGAGTAGTGACGAGCTTCCCCTGGCCCTCCTCGACCTAGATACAAGCAAGCCTGCAATTTTGTTTCCTCCTGCACCCGAATCAGCGGAGGATACAGTGGCCGACGTGGCCAGCTCTTGAATTCCCCTCGAATTCATGCATGTGCCACTAAGCAGCTTAAGGCTTCAGACAGCTTAGACGGCCAAGCTGGTGTGTCGTGCAAACGCACGGATGCACTTGCGTTCTAGGCCACCCTTTCTGGAGAAGATGGAGGTGGATCATAGCATCACACACAGAGCAACACGAATGTTCGCGAAAACCGATAGTTTTGCCAATCCCGTTGAGTGAGAGATGCTCAAACCGGATACTCCACAGAGATCAACAGGCTGCCTCTGCACAACGTGTGCTACAAGTAGAATGTGCTAGACACTCCGTGCCATCCGTAGCTCATCACTTTCAGAATCAGCGTCCTGGCCTACCTGAGGTGTGATTGTCCGGACGGGGCCTGGCACTGATTCGCCTCAGGCACCGGCTGCGTTTGCAGACGCCGAGCACGGAGATGCTTCACAGGCAGCAGCTCGCCTGTCTACTGGCTCCGTGGTTTGGGAGCTCGAGTTACGCGGAGCTTCCTGGCGCTATGTGGCAAGGGCGCACAGCCTTTGAAGACATCTCCTTGACGGCGAGGTTGTTGTTAATTCTTGGCCGAAGTATCGAGACTCAAAGAAAGCGTATGAACATGGGGCAATGTTCGACCCTTCTAGCCACTAGCCACTTTGCTTGCAACGAAGCACGGAGATGCCAAGGTTCGTCTCCATTTCAGAAAACTGAGAGGCACGACCACTGGATTTGTGCAACCCCGTACAGATTGAGCTTCCCGACAGGCGATGGTCCCGACGAAGGCTGGATCAGCATCACTCTCAACCACAAGGTGGCCAGCATCTGCAGCAATGGGCCAAGAAAGATGAGGCTGAATGCTGGTTCGACCAAGGTTCTGGCGGAGCACTGCTCTCTGGACGATCCTTGGCATAAGAAAAAAAATGTGCAGCGCCTGTTACATCATGTTGGAGGTGATGATGACGGGGAAGAACGGATCGTTAGATCGTCCTCACATCTTACCCGCCCGAGGAGGTCTCGGCCCCGAGCCTGAGAGAGATGTGTCACCACAGCTTGGGCTGCCGCTCGGCGGGACTTCTGCAGAAGCGCACGACTGCAGTAAGTCCCTTGCAAGTTTATGTCTTTTGCTTTGCAGATGTGCCCTTATCCAAGGTAACACCCGGCACGTAAAGTCGGCATTCTGCGAAGCTGATGACGTGGAACTGTTTCATGCGCTGTGGTCCGAGCTAGACGTTTCAGGCAAGTACAAGCCGCCTGGCGGTGGCTCGGCGAAGCTAGCTCGCAGCTTGCTTGGTCAAGCAAAACATGCCCGACGGAGACGCATGAAGTCGTCAAGGCATGGCCTTCGTTGATAATCGCTACAAGACCGAGATAGATGCGGAGCTTCGCGGCGATTATGGTTGAATTTTGGAAGGGCCCCAATGCACGAAGTCCCTGAGTCTGACTCTGAGGCTGGCTGCATCTGCTTTCATCCTTCGAACATTGATTGTGGCTTGGCGGCTTGGCTTGCGGCTTTCCTCTTCAAGGGACAACTCCACTTCGGAGGCCACCTTGAACGTGGAGATGGTCATGTGGTGGGCCAACGTGTATGAGGATGGCTCCAGTGGTTGCGATTTTCATCGCGACTGTCACTTCAGGCAATTTGCCGGAAATGATTGGAGGGCTCATGGCTCTCAATGTTTCTATGTTCATCTGGACTCTTCGTTATGTCCGACACCTGCACCTTTGTCGAAGAAAAGCGCAGACAGACAGACAAGCCGAGCAACAGAGGGCATGAAATGCCAGAACACACAGATGTCATCACTCCGTTTCGCAGCGACCAAGTACTTATGAGCCCACAGTGACCCTGACTTGATTAAGCCTTGCTTTCTGGACTGCAAAAGCTTCCGCACTCGTCCAGAACATGTCGTATTTGCGTGTGCCTGTTTTGCTGCATGAGACCCGGAGTGCCCCTTCTCCTGCATGCGATCCTTGGGACGGTAGCCTTGCACCGGCTGACACCGCTCTCCACAGCAATTAAGGCACAACGTGAACGTGACAGCTGCCAGGATGCAAAATGGTTGCCAGCCGACCCCTCATTCCGGAGCTTGCACGCAAAACAGCTCAGCATGCCCAAGGTTAGTGCATCGTTCGGTGCCGCCAGCGACTGGTGCTGAACTGCGGAGGGTGGCTTCTGACAATGATAGTGTTCGCGCACAGCTGGAACTAAGGAGAGCTGGTGTTTCGAAATGAGGAGCTAGACACTGAGCCACGACCCTAGGGCCCCAAGGCCTCTAATTACAAGCCAAATGACATCCCTCCGCCTGACCAAGGATGCCCTACCTCCAGTCTAATGGCGACATCATGGCGTTCAATGCCTGGGTGGATGAACACTTTTTGCACCGAGTTTACCCTCAGAAGGTCAGCATGGGCTCGCGTGCTCAAGTTAGGGGTGTTATTATTCTCTTCTCGAAGGAAGCCAGCGGCCCTCGAATTTCCATCATCCTCATGGGACGAACCAGCATCTTCGAAGATCAGGCGTCTCAGTGGCAAAGCGAGTTTTTTCATAGTTGTAGAAGTATTGGGCGCATTGTAGATAATGTCACAGGATCGCTTTGAGACTCCTGGCTTGAACCCATCATTCTATTGCGCTGGCCGGCTCTGGTCAAGTGGTTAGACAATCCACGACAGCTTTTACGCGACTCTTCATCTCACTCTGACCCTAACAAATGTTCAAGTGGTCTCAGATGGGCACGCTCGCTCTCAAGCGCCACCACGACCTCCTCCAGCAAAGCTGCGCCCTGTCATGAATGCCGAGTTTTTGTCAGGAGCAGAAGGAATGGAGGAGTAGTCGTTCACGGACTGACAGGCCGACGCATTGTCAGCGACGCCCTTCCTGCGGTGCTGCAACGTGAGGCAAATAAACCTTCAATGTGCAGCTGTTGGAGACATTAGCAGCCTTGAGGCAAAGCTGTGGCAGAGGAAAGAGCATCTTGAAGCACAGCTAGCAGAGAAACGAGCACTTCGGCAGAGAAAAGCGGGAGACCGTGGCCTTGCCACAAAAAGCCGACTTGCCTGGGCGTGAAGATTCCAATGCGAGCATCAGACACGAACACATGCTGCCATCACCGCCTGTTGGTCATGCCGCAGCCCAGGAAGCCACCGGCCGCCAAGCCGCATGATGCCGCTCTTTGCCGTGACGACGCCACGCAATACTCGTGAACGGAAACCTGGAAGCTTCAGGTCGAGATCCACTTACTCCGTACGCAAGCATGTGCTCCAGAGATGTGATCAAGCTGGAGAAGGACTACATCGTTCTGCGCTGTTGCCAGTCCCTATGATACCTCTCTGGACCTGTGCATGGCAAGTTGTTGTTCAATGCTGCTTAGCAGGAGTTGGAACACCTTTCCGTGAATCTGCAGGCCTCCAGTGTGAAAAAGACTTTGACAGAGCATGTCCACCACTTAACCTGTTGGAAGAGGATGATTTGGAGGCTGAAGAAGCATTGACAGCAGCCATAAAATGATACTATTGTAAATTGTAAATGAGCAATGGCAATGGGAATAGTAACAGTGATAGTAGTAGTAGTAGTAGTAGTAGTGGTAGTAGTGGTAGTAGTGGTAGTAGTGGTAGTGGTAGTAGTAGTGTCGAATCAGCGCTTGTAGACTTGCAGATCTATCAACTCCCACGAGGCCCTCCAAAACTTAATCTGCCCAGCACGGCTTTGAGCAAAAAAGCACCATCACCAGAAACTTGTGCAGGCGCTTCATCACCTGGCCTCTTGTTCGCACTGGCGTACTGTACGAAACTCTAGTGCTAGTGCAGCTGAGAAATGGCAGGTTGGGCGGGCATCCGTGGATTCTGCAGATGTGGGGGCAGCATTCCCGAAAAAAAAGTATTTTCTGTCGGTGATGACTCATGCCAGTTTGCCGTTAGCCCGTGCTGTGCCGCAAGCATACGCTCGAGCAGCGCAGGAACATGAGCAGAAGCTACAAGCACTGGCCCACGCAGAGTCAGAGAGTAAGCGGCTAAGCAGAGACAGTTCTGTGCCTGGGCATCGCAGACGGACAGAACTCAACCCGAGTGAACGATTGAGGCTATGCCTGCTGGATGAAGCAGCAGAGAGCGAAGACTCGTTCCATGCACTTCACCACAAGGCCGCTGCACTTTACGACGAAGACACGCGACTGAAAAGCTGTCGGACACGGGCGTGCCCGGTCAGGCTGGCTGAGCTGTCTGCTGACTTGGAGGCACTCGGCCGGCAGTCATTGGCAAGTTCAACACTAGGCTACATTCACCGATTTGCGGCCGTGTGTCATCAAGGATCTCTGGCAACAGTCAGAAGACGCTGTGGAAGTTCGCAGCTTATGTGGCTCTCGGTCCTGGCAATGCCAGAGCTGGAAGGGCAATCTTTCCGGGCCTACCGAGGCGCGCGAGAAATTTCGAGGCATTGGTTAAGCGACAGAGTTGAAATGCTATGTTCTAGACTGAATCCGTGTGTTCAGGTGACTGGAAAGAAGCTGGGGCACTCAGCTGGAAGTCGATGTCAGATTCGCTTGATGAGTTCGGTTCTGCATGTCCATGCTTGTCCCCATTAGCTGCGACTGCAGGCTGTCCAGCTTGCCACTGTGGAGAGGGGCCAGGTAGAAGAGGCTTCTGGATGCTTCTCTTGGAAAGCTTGCCTTCCAGTCTGCATGGCAGGTTCATACACAGATGAAGGGGCTTCGAGTACATGCAGCGGGGGCCCTGCTCGCAAAAGCAAAGAAGAGAGCTGCACACCAAAATCTGCAAGGCCACGGCCGAAGTCAGAGCTGCGGAGCTCTGCCTGGAGGTTGGGCTATGTTGGGCGTTTGACTAGACTTCCGACTGAACCGTAGGCAGAGGCCCTTTTGAATATGAGCGCTCTAACTTGAAAAGCTGACCTGAGGCGGTGGACTCGGAGGTGGCGTCCAGCGAGCTCTGGCAGTCGCTCGCTAAAGTTGAAGGCACCTCCTTCATGCTGCGAGCACGAAGAGGGTTTTTGCAAAGGTGTTTCTTGCTGAATGTCACTTTTTTTTGGTCAGCACGGGCAACCAGGCCAGGATCACCGAAGAGATGCTCTCACTGTCGACCTGCAGCACGCACAAGCGGAGCAAGAGGACCCGGACGAAGTGTTGAGCTGCTTAGCTCTTCAATGTTCCGCCCTAGAAACGCAATGCACCACAAAGCACATGACCATGGGGGACAGCGTGGGCCCTCGCATAAACGGTAGATGCACTGCACCGAATAACCGGAACAGCATTAGGGAAGGATGCCGAGCTCCGCGGCACGAGGGCCACGGAAGCAATAACATACGGCCGACAGTAAAGGTGGCCACGAACACCCAATGCAGCGACACATGCCTCAGCCTGTCAGCATGCAAGACCCCGCTCAACGCAAAAAGTACCCCGTCTACCGTCGCGCAAACAACCCGCACGTTGTCAACTCCGAAGTCTCTCAACAGTTCCGAAGCATGCCAGCACAGAGTGGAAACGAGCTTCCCAATTCATGGCGACCGCCGGCTCGACGAAATGCATCCTGCTTCCCGTGCTGCTCCACAACAAACTACAAGAAGCCAGACAGCCCATGACAGCCCACCCGCCAGCTTCACCCGCCGAAGGGCTCAGGCAGTGCCGGCAGGAAACGCTCCATGCATGCGACCAGCTTGTCACTTTCAACGACTCCGCCGCTTTCACTTGCCAGCTGCCTCAGCCAAATGTTTCTGGTAAGTTAGTCCGAAGAGGAAAGGGCAGGCAAAGAACTCTTGCTTGCTTCTTGCAAGCACGAGTTATGAACGCTAAAAGTGAAGACTGGCATCGTAGCTTCACGTCAAGATTTGTCAAGGCAATCCGCGGCTTGTTTCAGTTTCAGTCAATAAAAAAGTAGCATGAGAAGCACTGCCAACCTGGCGCAATGCAAAGGTATCAGAGGGCGAAGCACGGTCGAACGACATGCATTCGGTGACGCATGGGATGCGGCACGGGCATGTTCACATCGGGAGTGCTTTCTGCAAGCTGATTCAGTATACCCACATCTCCAAAGGTCGCAATTCGCCTCCAACCAGATCTTTTTGACAGGTCCTCTTGGACTCTTAGCCTTCCTTGCCATACTGGCATGTCGTCTCTGCAAGTACTCGCCAGCCACAGGCATCGTGAGCAAGAGGGCTATCCTCAGCCGATCAATCGGAGAGGCTTCCCCCATGTCTACATGTGGTGGCTTGCCGACCGAGCTAATTCCAAATTCAGAGAGGAATAATCTGAATAATCGACTGAGACTGTGTGCGGCGGTGCCCTGAGCTGAGCTCTCCCAGTCATTCATGTTTGATTCTGACCTCCCAGCCTTGAGCTGCGGCTGAAGCCGAGCCAGCTGCACAAGATATCCTGCTTTGCTTCTTCGTACTTTTCTTGACTTTAGTGATGCCCGAGAATGCATTGAATCGATTCATCGACCATCCAACAACAGGATCTGATCCTTTGATCTGTGTGGCACCACCAGACGAATCGTGCATTGCTGCACTGCTGGATGTAGCCCGGTAAGGGTAGTCGGAACCATATCGCATCCCCAGCAATTGTCGGTGTATGGGATTAGGATGTCAGCAAAGATGCGGCGCTCGTGACACGAGACATATCCACAGATTGACATCTCCCTCCCCTGCCTGCGCAGAGGAACTGCGAGCACATATTTTTTCGCAAGAGTGCGTGGCTCAAATCCGTTCTCATGACAGGGGGGGTAGTGGAACTCGTGGGAGAGAGCGGACAACATGCATCATGCATGATGCGAGGCAATATGATGGTGAATTGCTGGCAGCGCTGGCTGAGCCCATTCCTTAGATGCCACCGGCAAGACTGAAGTTTGCACTCGGTTGCCTGTCGAGATGCATGGCTTGTCCCAGCCATCGTCCCGGAAGCCTCCGAGGTCAGAAGCGCAGCGTGCGGCAGTGACAGAATCACTGCAGCTGGACGCTGTGCACTGGCAGGACATTGACGAGTAAAATCTTTCATCTGCCTGGCGCATTCAATTGCCGCAGGAAATTCGAAGCAGCATTCAGGAGACTCGGAATGCGCCACGTCCACAGCGAATAGCGAAAATGCGCTTATGGGTTCGCAGCCTGCAACTGTGCCCTGCTAAGGGCAGCACAGCTGTACTCCGAACTGACTCGGATCGGACCTGAGCTTGAAGATCGCGGGCTGCTCGTGCCACAGATGTGACCTCCCACCAGGCATGCAGATGGCTACAAGGCCGTGACAACCAGGCCAGTGTTGCAGCAATGTGATGCAATGTGCCATAAGTCATAAATGTTGCCTCTATGCCTCCTGAACGAGGCATGCTGAAGCGGAAGCAGCAGGCTGCCGCACCGCCTCACAAGTTATTGAAGCCAAGGCACCCTGTAGGCCGGCTTGCGGAGCGCTGACTTCTCTTTTCCACTGCAGCCAATGTCAAGCTCCACGCAACCGGACTGCGGTCCTCGGTGTTTTTTCTATGCGCCAGGGTCCAGAACTCCATACCCGGCCACACGCACTGGAGCAACCCTTCTAGCCACAGAGGTTGAGCTCACCATGGCTCTGTAGCAACACAGCAAACACGAGCAACTAGTCTCCAGATTTCATACGGACGGAAACAGAGCTTCTTGAGTTACCAAGTCTAGACGGCCAGTCTATCCCGCTCAGAAGTCAAGCCTCAAGTACCGTGCCCCAAGCTTAGTTGGGCTCTGTAGCTGCGGCCTTGGTATTCGAGCCGGCTGCAGGTTGAAACCTTAGCTTTGCGGGTTGCATTCTGAAAAGGGATGTAAAGAGACAGGATGTGAGACCGCTGAGGTCGATTGCGTCTGTGCATGTGCCCTGGTTGCAGATCCAGGTTTAAACCACCTTTATAGCCCCTGCCAAACAGCTCAAAGGGTGCGATGAACCGAGGGCTGGCTGGGCATGGGCGTGTGTGCCTCGTGCGAGAAGGCGCCGAAAACACAAATCCCGAAACTCCGCCGAGAGAGAGCCTTTGAAAAAAACAAAAAGGCGGATGCGGCTGCCAAGCAGACCGTCGGCGCGGCCAATGCTCAGCCAGTCCTTAACGCAAGCCCCCCTGTGACGTGAGTGCCTGCGTGTGAGCCGGCTGACCTTCATCTTTGTCTGTGAGGAGGCTGCTGTCCTGAAATTCCTTAGCCGGGTAAAGCTATTTCAGCGCTTGCCGAAGGACCGGTCAGAACCGTGCAGTTCTACAGCAATGTGTTCGCTTGCCGTTTCAGACAAGTGCTTCGACATGTCGAGGAAGTTCATACGACATTGGCCTCCGCTTGCCCCAAGCTCATACTCCGCAGCTTCCAGCCATGTTTGCAGGTCCAAACGTTGACGCTTGCGCTGCTCGCTCGAGGTGTTCCGGCAGAGTACAAGCCCAAGGCGCGAATCATTTGCCAGGGCGATGACGGCATGGGCCTTGGATCCCTGGATGCAGTCCGAGCACAGATGGTTTCAGTGACACGCGCCATGGTCACCCAGGCGACGAGTTCTTCATAATTCAAGCTGGCGAGGCAGACGTGGAAGTCAATGGCAAGAAGGCGATTTCTCCGTGTCTCAAACCCAGGATTTATCCCTGCGTACAACGTTCAGCATTGCAGGTTGCCACGCTGAAGGCAAATGCAGCTCGGCATGTGAGAAGAGCAGGGCGCTACTGGTTGTGGAGTTGGGCCGTTTCTTCGACATGCGCCTGCGGCTGAAGGATTACTTCGGCGAGAATGCCCTCTTAAGAAATGAGCCGCGGACAGCTACCATCACTGCCAAGACAGTGGCGTGCTTAGTCACCTGTGGATCTGTGGGACAAGGAGAGAGATTCCAAAAATGGTCGGACTTGCCAACTAGAATTGCGCAGCTTTCACACAGACACTCGAATCGTGACGATGGTGAAGAGATGTGAGGAGAGACGAAGAGCTAGCTGAGTTTAGATGCGTCGCACCTTCGCAAGTGCACATTTAGCATCAAAGGTCGACAGCTACTTTTCAAACTTTCGATCTTGTAGGCTCATTGTAGACAAAGGCGGTAGAGTCTGAGGCTGAACAGATTTCAGCAGTCCCGTTCCGGTGGCCCACGAGCACAAGCTCCTGGTTCAATAACATTTTGCCACAAAGGCAGAATGTTGTGGACAACTCTAGATTAGATGTCGAGGCTCGGTGTCGCGGGACGGCGGGGGTTGCACCCCCGGGGAGCAGCAAGACAATTATGTCGCGAGGTGCACTCGCATGTGACTGTGAAGAACTGTGAAGGGTAGCAGCTGCGGACTAGCAGGCCAGGCACGAGAGCAGCAAAATATCCGCCAATGTAATCCGGCGGCCAATCGTGAAGAATCCTCACACCGGGTTTTCCGGTGATATCATAACCCTGGAATGCTGAGGATTTGAAGGCGTTGAAAATTGGGCGTGATCGCTTCGATCTTCTGGGCCTGAGGCACGCGGGCAAAGTAGTGTGGGATGCGGAAGGGCGCCGTGAACTTCCGGAAGCTTGGGCACAGGGAGAAGCTGGAATTCCCCCAGCGGAAGGCTGTCGGTGGTGGAGGGAAGCAGGCGCAGATCTCAGCATACATAGTCATCCCGATGCGTCTGCCGACGAGCTTCACAGCACAACACATCCATTTCCTAGTGTGTTGCAAGTTGTGGCTCAATAGCCTTTCCATATGCGAAGTTTGTCAAATCCCTTGGGATGCCACAAGAAACCTGAGCAGAGCACTTTCGAGCACCTCTGAGCGCTGGAGGCTCGCTGGGTGCACTGTTGCTTCTCCAGTACTTTGGCGCGATTGCCTCGTTTTTGAAGTTGTCACTGCTTCTGCAGGCTCCCAGAGCACAGATGAGGCAGCGGTCTCAGTTGCGGCATCGCAAGCTGCTCTCAAGCGACTGATGGGTCTTCACATATCTCAGGATGCACAGAGCCTTCTGGCTTCTGCTGGTTTGCATTCTCGCAAGTGCTGTAGATCAGAAGAGCTTGCTGACGTCTGCTGAGCACGTCCTGGCAAGCCACACCACAGAATCTTGGCAAGGATAGCCATTTACTTGCCAATCCTGATTCATGCTGTATACTGCCGCCGCAGCTGGAGTTTCAGGCTGACTCCCTGATGGAAGGCGAAAATGTGCAGTGCCCTGGGCTGTATCAGACTTGCACAATCATGGACGTGGCCTGTCATGGCAGCACAAATCGTGAGCTTCCCGGCGTCCCAGACTTTCGGCTGTACAAGGCGAGATCGCCTTCGGTCAGCGGCTGAACGCCCAGCTCGGGGCATTCGGTCCAAAACTGCTGTGAAGTTCGGAAATCACGGCGCCTCGCTTGCAATTCAGGGCTCAGATCGGGCGAAACAAGCACCCAAAATTAGCTTCTCAGGCAGGACACTCTCTGCAGGCCAGGGCTTTGTCAGGGCCTGGCACAGCGAGTTCCGCTCTGCTCTTGAAGCGTGAATTGCTGCTCCGCCTTAAGGGGCTTTCTCCAACGTGTTGTGGGCTTCCCTGTTCCTGGTCAGATGGCAAAGACAAGTCCGAAGAACAGGCGGAATCAGGAGCCCAGAGTGGTTGAGCATCAGTCTTTGTAGAGCTTTCGGTCAGCAAATGAGTCGAAGTGCAAGCGGGTGTAGATTGCACTCTCTTTCGGCCGTCGGCGTGTGCAGTCTTGACTTAGATTGCATGAATGCAGGACCTGATGACAGCCTTCCACCTCTGGGCTCTTACTATGCAGATTGGAACCCGGCAATCTATAGACACATGGCTACAATTAAATTAGAGCCTACTTTGTTGCAAGTTGTCATGCAGGGTTTACAGCACTGAAAACTCACCATCGACCACAATTTACTTGCACACTACCAATGTTCATCAGGTGCGCTCAAGTATTCCATCGTCCGGCGCTTGAATGTTGAAGTGAGCGTTGCCTGACAACTCACCTCTTACCGCCGAAGATACAAATCAGGTTCGGATCAGCACTGTGGACAGGAGCATAGACATGGACAAGCCTTACGAGGATCCGGCACCAGATCAGCTCTGCAACAGCGACTAGATCAGAGATGGTCAGAGCTAACACCAGCAGGATGGCGGACTTCAGGAGTCTGTCGGCAGCGGATTTCTGGTGCCCCAGCTGGCGCAAAGCTGCGCGGGGCCAAAACCGTGACTGTCTCGGGGACAGGTGGATGAGAACACGACTATGCTGGGTGACGATGATTACACGTGGCCTCCTTAACGGCCTGCAGCAGGTGAGTTGTTCAACCTGATGTGACAACGCTCTCCGTCAACTAGGCTTCTGCAATGCAAAGTATGCAAGGATAGTCACCAATGCTCATGTGGTTCGGGGCTCTGGCATCGTGCTGGACTCAGCCCTGCCAGATTTGCGGCTGCGTTCAAAGTATATACTTGTAGTGCCTTTGGCTGAGGTTCAGGACTGGACGACTATTGTAAACTAGCGGACGGCTCCAGGGAGGTTTGCAGTCGAACTTCCGAGTTATCGAAAAGCGGAAGATTATGTGGCCCTGTCGTGTGGTGGATCAACTGTCATCTTTTGTTCCTGATGCTGTCTCATGCGTAACTTGTTTGACCCTCTTTGGACGAACGATGATAGCGACCCTCACAAGCAAGACACACTGGCAAGACCAATTCGCAAAAAGCGCCGATTTGCAGCCAGCAAACTTTGCAGCAGCTAGCCTTCCATGTGACAACTCGAAGGTAGACCATTCGTCGTGAACCCCTGCATGAAGGAACCTTTGTCTGAGCCCAGTCTGGAGCTCCCCGAGGTCCGAGTGCAGTTCCCGTCTTTGGGGCGACATCTCTTTGCAGTCGCCCTAGAGCTCTAGGGTGCGACGTCTGGAGCAAGCAGTTGCACAACAAAGCCACATGCAGTTCGCGTGTCGTACAAGGATGCCACCGTGCCCATGATTTGCTTCCAGTTCGATTTGGCGCCACGTAGCTTCAGAGAAGGGGGAAACACAGGGCGGGCCTACAGAAGTGGCCCCAGCGAGCCGAACCCGATGCTGTGACAACATAAGGATCGTGAAGTTGAAGGATCCCACGGAATTGAGGGAGAAGCTGAAGCTCGCCAATGTGACCCTTTCTCTGTCCAACGCCTAGATTGAAGGGCCGTTGTGCAGATCCGCTGGCTGCTTCAAAGAATTTGGATTCGAGGCTGAAGTTGCAAGCTCGGAATGTGAAGATGGGCATGCGCGTGGCGGCGTTGGGCTTCCCCTTAGGCACTTCCCCTTAGGCACAGTGGATGGTCGTTCCAGTGCAGTGCAGACATGCGCAGACTGTGTGGATGTCGAGATCCCGGGCAGGGAGCCAGTGGCTCAAGCTCAGCGAGGGCGTCGTATCTGGTGCTGAGGCCACCGATATCCCATGCAACTAAGGCAGTGTTGTTGGAGTCTCGTGAGAACTTGGCAGGTGGTTGAAGACAACATGGTCTATCAAAGCACTGCACCGATCAGCCCTGGGAACAGCGGCGGTCCATTGCTTGTCTTCAGATCAGACAGCCTGGTCCGATCGGCCAACTTCGATGCTGAAGGGAGGAAGCCCACTTTGGACACTGTTGTGGGTGTGAACTTTGCATCTTCCGCATCCAAATCAGCGCAGAATCTGAACTATGCCGTGCCTACCTGAGTGGCGTCGCAAGCATGTCAATGTCGGCGAGTGTGACCTGAGAAAGCTCAGCAAAGACTTGGCACGGCGTTCAAACATGTTCAAGCGAAAAAGCAAAAGCATGAGGAACAGTAATGAGCAGTACTGTATGTGACAGTGAAACATTCGTCGAGGGATTGGCCACCGGCAGGATCAAGGGTCTTGACCATTCTCAACGCCGACCCTGTGAAAAATCCAGTTGCGATTGCCAAGACAAGATGGTAGCTCCGATCGAGGTGCCGGCGTTTCGCATCGTCCAGGTCTTGGCCGATGCTTGCCCTGTCAGCTGAAAGACTTCTTGAGACCTTGCCGAGCTTTGTGTTCAGGGGCATTAGCATTAGCTTGGAGCCTGAATTGGAACTGCGGTTGGTTTGAGTGCCTCTTGTATGAAAGACCCGCTGTGGCGGCTTTTGTCACCGGAAGCGGGCCGGTTGACATCCTAGGCGTACGCGAGGATGCGCAGCTTGGCAAAGCTTGTTCGGCAAAGTGCACAAGTTGCATCTCGCAGATATCTGTGGATCGGGTTCTACGGTCTGCTTAGTCTACTTTTCTTGCGCCATGCCTGGTATATACTCTACAGACTGAAGCCTGAGGTCAAACAGACTGTGAGGAAGCCTTAGACGAGTTCGGTCGCGGAACAAGGACCCACCAAATTAGCTTGTTGCAGTTGTCTGAACACCGACATGTGCAAGTTCGTGCTTGCGAATGTATATGTATGTATATGCCCTGTGCATGCATGTATATATGCATGTATGTATGTATGTATGTATGTATGTATGTATGCACGGATGTATGTATGTACGTATGTATGTATGTATGTACGTATCTATGTATGTGTGCATGTACGCATGTGTGCATGTGTGTGTGTATGTATGTATGTATGTATGTATGTATGTATGTACAGATGCCGTATGTATGTACGGATGCATGTACGTATCATTTACGGATGCATGTGCATGCATGTATGTATGTACGCGTGTGTGCGTGTTTGTCCGTCTATCTGTTTGTTTGTCTCTCTGTATGTCTGTCTGTTTGTCTGTATTGATGTATGTATGTATGTATGTATGAATGTATAAAAGTGAGAAGAAAATTAACAATAAAAATTAAATAATAACAATAAGAATAACATGTGGAAAAGATAGATACATAGATAGAGAGGTAGATACGTGCATAGACACAAAGATAGAGAGATAGATAGATAGGTGGATAGACGGCTACAACATAGATATAGGCCTAGATATAGACATGTATTTGTTTATTTGCTGGTTCATATCTGTATATGGCTGGGGGCAGTGAAAGGTTTTTTTCCGTGATTTCCGCAGGCGTCACATGGAATTGCGCATCGCTCCCGTCGGTGCTCCGCCTAACTTGAGCTGCAAGTGGACTGTCGTGTGCCTGACGGGCTGAAGGAAGATGAGGTGTGGTGTACACACAGGCCACGCAGGCTTGACTAAGTGCACTTGTCGCTTCTTTGGGTCAGCCTGCTGCTTGTACTGCATCGCCTGAGAATCGTTTCAGTCTTGTATGGCACAGGCACACCTGAGGAGAAGCGGCTGTAAGAGTGGTGTGCCGCTGGTGTCTTGCCTGCCTGGGCTTGCCTCGATCAGACGGCTCTGATCGCTCCTAAGTCACTCCTAAGTTTAAGGATCGCTTCATGCCGTTCTCACTCTTCCGCTGGGCCCACCCACCCATCAAGCCTGGCAGCTTCTTGGTCAAAGTGGCGGGCGCCTCAGACTGTCTTCAGCATGCAGTAGCATGCACATACCTGGGCCCCGACTCCCAGAAAAGGACGAAACGGAGTTGGACACCTTTGGAATGGGCAAAAGCCACTGGGACCCCGTTGATGCCACACCCAGCATTCTCCAAAACACGACATGCCTAACAAGACGAAATCTACTCGTTGCATCTTGGCAATCAAGGATTCGATTACATGCAGCAGTACGTCAGCTTCAAGGATTTGCTTACATTCCGGGAGCACTTAGACGATGTTGTAACCGTGACTACGTGCATCCGAGCTGCACATACACGGGGCAAAGGAGGTGCAATGCTTTGCTTTGTCATGCTTGAGTTTCTTGCGTCTATGTGATTCGAAAACATGTGAAAGCTCTGCCGTGACTTACATGATGCGATAAGGCACCAATGGCATTGCAGCAGAGCACCGTCTGAGCCTGCCACTGGCCACAGATGTTGCATCTTGTTCCTGCGAAGTGCATGCAGTTTCTGTTGGGTGCGATCTCGAAGCAGCATCGCGCGAAAGGAAGTGGAACAGCAGCCGGTTTGAAGGAGGAGTCCGCTACTTGTATGAGCCCAACTTTGACGAAACCGCAAAAGACTACGCAGCTTTACCGCATGGATGTTTTGTGAAGGTGGCCCGGGGTAGCACTCCCAACAAAGCCGATACATGTCCGGATACTGCGGCGATGCTCCCTGTCGAACTCGCCCTTCTGTGTGAGGAATGGTTCTCTGGGCTAACAATGGTCCAGCTTACGTTGAACCACATTGATGCGTCGCTTGTTATGACGATGTCCTTTGTTGTTCCAGTTTCTCCTGCTTGCAGCATGCTGGGAGGGATACTCTGGGCTCAGCAACAGGTGGATTGCCCAGCTCGGCGGTGAAACTTTGGGGAGATTCTACTTGGAGGCTCGGCTTCTGGACAACATCGCCCTGTCGCTGGCCTTGCAGCCTCGAAGCATGTCCAGGAGAACACGCTTCTTCCTCGCGTCGCTATCACATCTTGTGCTTCCGGGTTTAGTTGTGAAGAGATTGTGGGCACCGGAATGATCGTGCCTGGGCAAATGCTGGGCAGACCCGTGCAAGGCGTGAGCACGCAGGATGTTCATCTGCACATGTGTCCAAGGTTGAGAGTATCAACGGCAACCTGATTGCAAAGTGCTTGAGTTGACGGATTTTTGTAGCACCTGGAGTGCTGTGCAATGGTGAGGCTGCCCAGTGTCCACGCTTGCGGACATTCGCCGGTGCTTCATACCCAAGACCGGCATCGAAACCTGGGAGCTGGTCACAGATCGAGGCCTTGGACACAGTTCGAAGGGAGTTCGTGCCCTTGAGCGGAACATATTGTTGTGATCCAGGAGTTGCACTGGCAGTGGACTTCCAGGAAGAGATGAGCCAAGCTGTCCGCCTTGTGCACGAGGACGTGCAATCCCGCTGCTCCAGTCATTCCATGGTGCCTATAGAACGCTTGACTCCCATGGCCTGAGGATTTGACCTTGCTGAGCAAGGCTGTGCGGGAGGCTGCTTTGTGGCTCCGTGCTCCGGCAAGGAAAACAGTAGAAGTTGTTGAACACAACGGCTTTAGCCACGTTACTGCGATCAGTGGACAGAGTGAGAGAAATTTTTGTTCAGGTAATTCGTCATCCCGGCGAGCAGCTGAAGCAGGCAAGCACAAGAGAGGTGGGGATAAAGATACGAAGAACCACAGCAATGCGACGAATAGCTCTGGGAATCTCGACGGCAAGATGCTGCCTCCCAAGAACGGTTGCAGGGGGAGGAAATCCAAGCTAACCAAGGAATTCTTCTGGCAGACTTGGAGAGCAGGCAGATGCCGATGAGTATCACCAAGATGTCGGAAGTGATGTGAACGACCCAGTGGAGGCTTGACCAGGCATCGTCTCGCTGCCGGGTACAGAGTCTTGCTTCGCCTGCAGGTGGTTGTCCACAAGCGCAGGAAAAGAAGGCGACGACTGCTCGCATTGCTCGCCCACTTAGACTTACGCTGTTGCATCCATCTCGTCATAGGAGACCGGAACGGACCCCGTCGACAATGGAAGGCAGGCTGGCAGCTCCCTTGATTCCACAAGCCACTGAGACCAAAGCACTGTTTTTCTACCTGGTGAATCTGAAGAAGAGGGTTCTAGTCCTGTGGCCCTGCTCAAACAAGGATAGCCATGACGCACTACTCAGTCGAGATGCCAAGCAGCCCGACGTCGACAGAGAGACAGCGGTGCAGAAATCTGAGAACTTGTCCTTTGCACCAAACGTGGGGATCCAAGTTGAATCCTGGAGCCTGAAGCTGTGTCGGGTGTTGCCTCAGCGCCTCATGGGCAGAGAGAGTCCTGTAAGGACAACACTACCAAGAGCCAGACGACCCACTCTAAGCACCCCATGCGCACCGGACACAAGCATCGGAGCTCGCCTTACACAGCGATGAAGAAACAGTTGTTTCGTGTCAAATCCAGCGGCAAGCTGTGCACAGAGGGCGTATGATGAGGGACTGAAGCCAAGGCATTCCAAACAGAGAGATGCCGCAAAGATTCAGGATGCACAGGCCCGAGTGTATGGAAATGCCATGGAAGGGAAGGAGCTTTGAACGCTCTGACGGGTGAAGCTCGATGCTACCAGGCAGACGCCACGCACACCGAGAAGACGAAAGATACGCGGGAGGTTTGGAATTTCGAAATTGACGTGCAGCACATGTCCCATTCCATTGCATCATTTGTTGGCCTGAGCGGGTTCGTGCTTACTTTGCCCGAATGTCTCTCAACTGCCAGGTAGAGCAGGAGAAGCTGAGGGCGAAATATAACATGCAGGCATGCTTCGACGGAAGCTCGGGCGCTCGCGCACGTTTGCAGTTCGGAAGTTGTCGGTGATGATGAGCTAGAATCAGCTAGAATATCCAGAACATGCTCAGCGACAGAATGAGGAGAGAATGAGTGCTGGGCTGCATCTAGGGACTGCCGGCAGGTCACACCGACGGGAAGCTCGATGCCTTTCCAGGCAGAAGCGAGATGCCTGCTTTATCACTCGGGGGTTTTTGTTTCTGTTGGGGAGGGGGCGGGGGGGAAAAGCATGCCCGCAGGTCGGCAAACTGGGCGCCTGAAGCGGACTAAAGCGACCGGTACTGTAGAGCTAGCAGAGGTGCGGCAGGATCGTGCAGGTGCTGCTAAATGGCAATCACCGACAGCCTGCCATTCTCCTCTATAGGTCGCAGAATGCAGTGACCTTGAGTTATTCTCAGCCGATCTTTATGAGATCTGCCGGACAATGTAGCACCATCTCGTGAAAGACGTGCTGGGCTGCAAGAGCTCAAAAGGAAAGAGACAGATAATCTTAGAAGCAAGAAGCCAGCCTGGCGAAGCCCTTTGCACCGCAAGGAGCTGGTGACGAAGCCACCCAGCCCGAAGACAGATGCAGAGAAACAGCTGATGATTGAGGCCGGAACGTTTCTCTGACGTTAAGCTCTTTGTCTGCTGTGTCGAGAGCTCCGCTTCAGGCACTAAAGCAGAATGACAACCTGATGAGTGTTGAACCTTGGCAGTCAAGCATGTTAAGGTTCTCCCAAACAGCCAGAGCCACGGAGGTATTCCCTGAGTCCCGGGTCGCTGCATGGTATCTAATCTAAGGTATCGCTAAGCGATGCCAACCTCTCTCAGATGGTTGCGGTTGCCTGGAAGGCGATGACATCTAATTAGGGGAAAAGTCCGGGACCCCTGCCAGCCACCTGCGAGGAGGAGGTCACGGCTGGCACCAAGTTGATCACCGAAGGAGGGGTGTGCAACAGCAGCGGGTCAGTTCTGTGATCCGTGAGTCTTCGAGATTCACAGCAAGTTCACGCACGATGGCGTTCTGGAAGGTGATTTAAACGCGGACTACTTCTACGTTGTGCAGGATGGGGCTTGAAACGGGTTTGTGCAACGACTTGCGCGCCATGCTCTGGGGCCCAATCATGACATGACAGGAAGGGAAGTTCGACGTCGTCATAGGAGGGTCGAAGACCGCAGAGGAGGGCGGACCGCAGGTGGCTGCAGCCTCGGAATGCTGCAGAGCTGTCGATAACAGGGCATGTCCCGACTTGGACAAAGGTTGCATCCATTCCAAAAGGCGGAAGCTTTGGGGAATTGGCACTGCTCTACTTTGCCCCACGTGCAGCAACCATCCAGGCCGGTGCCCTCATGGAAAGTGCTCACAGCGAAGGGAAGGGTCTTGCCAGGCAGCAGAAGATGCCATGGTGTGGGTTATCGACCGCAAGAACTTCAAGGACTCTCACTACCCCTGGGCCTTTGGAACTTGCCGCCTTCACATGCACCGTTTCACCATGTTACGTCAAGTTCGGTCACAGGAGATTCTGGCGCAATCCTCCAATGCTACGGCCAAGGAGTACATAAAGTATTTGGACAAGGCAGCGAGACAGACGAGAGATGACCCGAGAGTGAGACGCGACGGAATGGATGCCTGGATCCCCTGAAGGTAGAGATTTTGGCGCCCCTACAGGTGCCCGGCGATGGAAAAGTCAGCAGACCGAAAGCTTCGTGTGATTGGAACAGGACGACGAGAAAGCGGCCGTTGCGCAAAGCTTATCTGAAATGCATCCCTGCCGCATCTGTGGTACGTGCCCGGTACACAGTCATAGTCTGGAGGGAAGAGGGGCTTGGTTCTGTCATGGACTTTGACCCAAACTTGGAAACCAGTCCCTGGACACGGCAAAGCTTCAAAGGAATACTCTTTTCTGAGTCGCAACTGTGAAGGCCAAGATCATCCAATCCAATGTTTGTTGCCTTCCGAATTACACCATCCAAGGTCGTTCAGTCGCGGAGAAGTGATCTTCCAACAGGGAGAGAAAGGCGACCAGATCCGCGTTGAGATAAGTTCTGGGCCCGGCAGTATGCTATGAGCAACGAGCAATAGGAGCCAAGACATCACGAGGAAAGCCATTGCGACTGATGCCAGCCCAAGCTGAAGTGCAGTTGTTGCCAGGTGACGCCTTCTACATCCTCATTGAGGGACAGGCCATAGCCAAATGCATTTGCGCTGCACCGGATAATCAGGATGATTCGCAGTTGCAGATCGAGCAGCAAGGAGTCCGGAGTGCATCGCGTGTCCTTGGCGTCCTTGCTGCAGGTCAGCGTTGTGAAGGACGGAAGAGAGGTCACAAAGCTAATTGCGACACCGGAGAAAGCTTCGTTTTTCGGTCCCCTGGCTTGCACGAAAATGCATAGCTCTAGCTTCCACTGGTTGAAGCTGTCTAGCCAGAAGGAGACAGGGCTCTGCTGAGCAACGAGCCGCGGAATGCGGCATAGCTGCACTGGGACACGGTCAGACGTGATCGTTGATGGAGCGTATCGCAGAAGGGCGGAATGGGGCTAAGGCAACGTTGCAGGTGATCTCCGACACAGCCAAGGACAGGGCACGAGTAAAGTAAAGCCATTAGATGGTGAATCTTGGTTTGCCATTGTACAAAGCTGTCACGAGAACAGTTCGGCAGACTTTGCCCAGCCTGCAGACGCTGACGGTGGACCGGCAGTCTTTTGACATGGTCCTTGGACCACTTGCCGAACTGCAGACGACGCTTTGATGACATGGTCCAGGCGCTGATAGGTTGCTGCAGCGCCAGTGCACGCTTCACTCAGGAGGGGCCGAGGTGGAAAGAGCAAGCTGGCTGCGACTTCGCCGACAGCAGTGCTAGTAGTGGGATTTGTAGTCCCCGGTTCGTGATTCCGATGAGAGGCCTTGAAAGTTGAGAGTGTGATAGCACTTGCAAGCGGGCATGTGCTGCCAACTAATTTAGCTCAGAACGCCTGGCTCACCAAAGACCAGCAACTTATTCTCGAACGGCCCGCGGTGCTGCAAGATGGACACTAAGCGAACACGACAGCAGCAGCGCCACTATCGCCACACCCAGGGCCGCAGTGTTGCCGGCAGCGCTGCCGCAATGGGCAATGCAACCCGAAAGTTTGGATTGATCTTGCGGAAGGATCTGCCGGTTCCTGAGTTGAGCACGAGCTTGCAATTTGTGGATGCCTGTCTGACCGTCGCGATTGTTGCGACAAACGATACTTGCATGTCATTGGAAAGGAAGAGAATTGGATTGCTTGGATGTGGTGGCTTTGGTGCTGTGGAGTTGGTGGAGCACGCTGCACTGGGCGATACCTATGCCCTGAAGGCTTTTCGCCACATTGCTCCACATGGATGTTCCCCACGACACATGCATGTGCTGCGACACCCACATCATGCACGGAGGCTCTCAGTAAAGGCTATGTCATGAAGCACGCTGCTGAGAAAAGCTGTTCTGCCTTGATGGCATGATGCCGCGCAGACTACGAGAATGCAAGCGTGTGTGTGTGTGTGTGGGTCAGTCCGTGGCGACCGAGGTCGGGCATGCAGCAAAACGCAACCATCCCAGAAGTTTGCCAAGATGGCATGTTGGAGCTTCAATCATGTTAACTCGTGTTTGTTACCTCTATATGCTGCTTCATGTTCTCCTGTCGTTTATCGCTCGCTTTGGCTCGCTGCTTGCTTCCTCACTTCAAGCATGTACAGACCCCCCTCGCGGCTGCTGGCAGCAGCTGCCACGAGGTCTTGAACGAGAAGAATGTGCAGATCATGTGCGATTCGCCGCGCCTTGACGCAGTTTGGGCGTGCATCAAGCCTGAAGTTCTTCGTGCAAGGAAGAAATTGCCGGTAGATGCTAGTGCCATGACAGGGAGTTGTGAGACAGGTTCATCATCAAGCTGTACGAGACGTACAACGGCACCCAATCACTCTACTTTCTCTTGGAGCCCGCACTGGGAGGCTTCTTTGATCTCTTGCAAGGCCGCCTAGATCCAGCTTGAATTGTTTACAAGGCGAACTTTATGCAACCTACAACAAGAAAGGCGCTTGCCCTAGCGTGCAGGTGGACAAAGTGCTAGATGCTCTAATTGAATGGCGCTGCAGGTCTGTTTGGCAAAGAGGGGCACGCCAAATTTTACGTGGCCGGTGTGGTCAATGCCCATTGGCAAGATCTTACGGGACAACTGAGAGTGACGAACCACTGCTTTTCTACAGCTGAGGCCTTCGAGCATCTCCACGGCAAAAAGATCATCTTCCGTGATCTGAAACCGGAAAATCTTTTGCTTACGGAGTGCGGCTGCCATGATTTCATCGCTTCACCGCTAAAGCCCCGTCCGCAAAAGCTGCCAGGCTTGGCCATATCAAGTTAACGGACATGGGCCTTGCAAAGGTTGTGGTCGGAAAGTAGATTGCCCAGAGCTGTCCACGCCGCATCGCACTTGCGCATTCTGTAGGTTTTCAGGACTAGTATAGGGCAGTAGCAGCAGTCAAGGACCTACACCACTTGTGGGACGCCCGACTACTTCGCGCCGGAAATGATCGCATCAGCTGGTCACACAATGGCCGTTGACTGGTGCCGCGTCTGCACCGTGAGGAATATTGAGGAATCACTCCATCACAAGTTGTCACGATTTACACGTGAAGCCAAAGCTGTGCATCATGCAGGTGGACTCTGGGCGCAGAGCTCAGCAATTTTGCTGTTTGTCGCCTTCGGATGCCCCTGGCCAGCACTCTACACTTGGCGACCTAGCACCAGGTGTCTTGAGCTTCGAGCTGATGGCAGGCCATCCGCCATTCGAGCCTCAAGCTCATGTGTGCTTCACCACCCCAGAGTATGCCATCACGTGCGGCGTGCCGCTGCAGACCAAGGTCACCGCACCCCATGCAGATCTACCAGAAGGCTACTTGTATGTGAGTTCAGTCTCTATGTGGAAGTGCTGCATGAAGCCACAGTCACAGGTAAACAAGGGCATCACCAAGGTGAACTTCCCCAACAAGATGAAGGGTGTAGTTGAGGCTTCTTGTGACAATGAAGGCCGCAAGTCGTTTGTGCTGCGGAGCCTCACAAGGATCTCGTCAAGAATCTCTGCAAGAAGGACGCTGGATGTGCTCTCGATTTGCAGCAACAGATAGAGGCAAAACAGGCTTACACAAGGAGTTCTAACAAGATGAGAAGTGATTCTTATTCTGCCACGAGGAGCCTGCTGAGAGACTTCCTATGAGGAAGGGCGGAGCTGGTAACATCCGGAAGCACTCCTGGCAGCGTGTTGGCATCCAGTCGGGTCGGTTCTGTTTCCTTACTGACGTCCGGAACGAGCTCAGGTTCAGCACCTTCGAGTGGGAGAAGTACGACAATGGCAATATGCCTTCACCATACAGGCCCCAGGCACGATGGGGGCTGGGTGAGCACTCGTCAATGCGAAATTGCCCTTACGCAGCAGAAGGAAGGAATGAAAGATCGAGTCTGAAAGATCCCTTGGCTTTCTCTCTTTCTTGCACTCATGTGCACAGCTGACACAAGTCGTGCCGTCGCTAAGCAGTAGACCTAGTCAGTCGCAGCATGCTAAAGCCACAAACACATAGTGCCTGAAAGCCTGAAAGTCGTGTCGGATGGCGTCACATCGGGTGAAGGGACGTCATTTGCGAACTATCGGCAGCCCAAAGTTTACGAACCGTTGAGCCATTTGGCTTCCCCTTCTTCAGGCTTGGTATATAAATCAACTTCTGAACGTCCTCTTGCGCTGAGTTGAGCAATGCAGGTTGTTGACATTCGAAGGCCGTTCGAATGCACATGTAGTGTTGGCTGCGCTGGGCGGCAATGCCCTTAGAGCTCCCCAGTATGCACTCCGGGACCCGTAACAGAAACCATTGCACCAACGACACATTGAAGACTACACACCTCAAAGGTCGGGTCGGCCGTAGGCGCACACAACCGGTCTCGTGGCTCAGGATTTGGAAGCAACCCCTGCTTTTCAACCAACGGCGTCAAATCACGGCCGTGGGTGTCCCTCACAGCTGTTTAAAGATTACGGACAACAGGCAGCGTTTCTTCAGACACGACAAACCTCGCTTTGGCTGAACACGACTGAGAGGCGCTCACTGAAGATGAGAGCCCATCCCTGTTTCCACAAATCGCTTCAGATCCGGAGGATTTTGGTCAAGGGTTTGGAATGAGCATCCTCGAGGTGACCTGTCTGCTGCCGGCACAGAAACCAATACTTGGAAACGCTTTGAAGCCACACATCTCATCTCATCCCGATTGAGGGTCTCCAAAGGCGGTTCCTAGATTTGGGCTATCTCTTGCGCCCCGTTTGCCCATGTAATTAGTGACGACGCAAGGCGATTCTTTGAGTCTTTGCCCTTTCTGCAAAGTTTCTTTTGTGGTGCTACCAAGCAGCATGAATGGCGCGAATGCGCTGGCTTGAACTGAACGGTGCCTGCTCGAGCACAACTCTGCGCCACCCTCCTGGCAGATGTGCTGGACAGGTGCAGAGCAAGAAGGATATGGCAAACTTTGCTGCGCGGAAGGAGGCATGTGCTCCGTTTGACTCGATTGAAAGCTCGGTGTGCCACTCCAAGAAAACTTGAAGCAAGGACATGCCGCCCAACGTGCAATACAAGGCTGGTCGGCAAGTCCTGGAACATCGCCAGCGTATAGCCCCCATCATGTGTGGTGATAGTTATGTGACATGTCAGGACGATGGCTCTGGATGGGATGCAGACTTCGCCACCTGCTCCTGAGCAAAGGTCGAGTACAGACCCGCAGCACAGGTTCCCGCAAGTATGCTCGTGGCACGGGCCAGTCGAGGAGAGGCAGCTTAAGAACCAATGGCCTGGTCTCAACATGATCAATGATCGGGCATTTAATGTCTGTGCGGAATCCGATGCATCTGCCTTTAACTGGGGTCCGACATTGCTAAGGATAGCAAATTTGTCATGACAAGTGCTTCTTTACGTTTGTCGGAGCAAAGGGTCGGATTGCGTGGCTGGCAGAACTGTTAGTGCACAAGTGCTTCGCAGCCTTTGATTCGTCGGCTGCGAAGCTGTCCGGCGGCGGACGCTGCAAAATAAAGGCGTCCATGTTTCTCGAGTATTCTTTTTTCTCAGGCACACACGATCGTACATGAGAGCTGCCGCGGCTATCAGGCACCAGTCGGCTGCAGACTTTGCAGAGCGAGTTCCGAGAGCATGCTGGCCAGGCTCGCCCTAGACCATGCTTGTTGCTTGTTGTGTTCGCGGGTGAGCGACGCTGGGTTCAACAGTTTCTGCATTGCCTAGGGCCAACACCTCGACGAGAAAGCAGCCCAGCCCGGACCCCACTTCCACTGGTGGGTTTGCGCGTGTGTGTCTGTCTGTGCCCTTTCAGAGCGCACACGCGTTTGAGCCAACGGTCCGCCTTGCGAGGCTGGAGAAGGAGTCACAAGACCTCCAAGATAAGCTTCAAAAGGCGCAGAGCAAGAAAGAGGCGCCAAGCCAAGCTTCACCTGCATGTCTTAAGCTTTCACCATAGTCTGTCGGCCCCTGTTCTGCCTAGGATCTCGTGGGAACCCTGGCAAAAAAAGAGCAGGAACATGAAGAACTTCTTGTTCAGAGCTCAGAAATCCTGGAACCTCTTGAGGCGAAGAGGTACGTTCTTGGCTTTTTGTTGAGGTCCGAAAGGCGGACCTCAATGCTGAGCTCGAGGCACGACGAAGATTTTAATTCATATGCCACAACACGAGTCTCGTGGTATTTTCTGTAGGGACTTACACTCAGACAGACTCAGACATTCAAGACGTGTTGTCGGCCCTCATGCAGCTTGCATCCTGTGTCGCTTTCTGCCACCCTTTGGAAGGAAAGGGGTTGTTCTTGTCTAACAATGGCCCAGGAGCTGAAGAAGAAGTTCCGATGCATCGTCTCTTGACACGATAGCCGTCATCTGGAGATTCGAAGATAACAGAATGCCTGGGCCCAGCCCAAAGAGGCTGGGGAAGTTTAGCCTTCGAGGCATGCCTTTCCGTTTCAACCCCGCTGCAGCAGAACACCTGCTTGGCATCAAGACTCTTTGCAGCCGCACGGGCCAGGAACAAAAACAAGGCGTTTGCACCAGAACTCACAGTTAGGCCGGCGCACCTTCGCTAAGAGCAAGACAGAGGGCGGCAACTGAGACATGGATGAAGGTGAGGGAGAAAGACGGCTCGGGAACGGTGAAGCGAATCGGGCTGAGAACCAAACACAACACCAAATGATCAAGGCTGCTAGTGTCCAAGAACTCCGGATGCCTGCGTTTGCCTTCTCACAGCTCACACTGTCGAGTTGAAGGAGATCTCGAATCTGAGGCTTCATGAGAGCCTTTGTCCCAACCATCTTGTGCACCACAAGTGGAAACGCACAAACATATGAATGGCTGGTGCATGCTGGATGCCTCCGTACAGGTATCGGAACTGACGCGGGTAGCACGAGGCTCTGCAGCTAGCGCACCCGGCCACAGAGGCTGCCGAACGCTTGCAGGCAGCAGTGCAGTCTTGTCGACTTCAGCCTTCTGCGACACGATTGCATGGCCCGCGACTTTGAACCTTCAGGCGCGGCACAACTCGCAGCAGAACATGGTGCTCAAGACAAAGCTTACCGAGGCGGCGGCCAAGAGAGCTCACGGTCGATGGGAAACATGTACCTTGGTGCCTAGGCATTGGGCATCAAGCTGAACCCCGAGTGCTGAAATGAAGAATCGCACTGACACTGTGCGCAGTGACAATGTTGGTAGCTTTCGATCAGCGGCTAAGGCACCCCATTATTCAGGGCGGGCTTCAAGCTCAGACTTCTTGCAGGAACGTGGAACCTGTCAGCCTAGCTGAAGCCATTCCAGCACAGGAAACGACATATGTGCTGACAACCAACATGTTGGACCACGCCCACTATGCTTGACGATATAGCTGTTGTTCGCGTCGCAACAGACGGTAGGCTCACTATGAGTGAGTTTGCCACTCTGCCAAGAAGGCATGCTAGGAGCACGAAGATTCGAAGCAGATCAACCGGCGCAAACCGCACGAGCAGTGCACAAATGGCGGCGCGCTGCGGCATCCCAGAGCGGATCCTGAGACGCGCAGCTCGTCATCGGAAGAGGTGAAGGGAAACTTCTCGGCGAAGACCAAGTGCTTAGTAGCTCGCATGGAAGCATTTGGAGGACACGGAGGCCTTTAGTGCCATAGACGCTGGTATGAGGCAGCTTGCTCTTGAGCAAAAACTCTCCGCCGGCTTGCGCCGCGCACAAGAAGCCTGCAGCGACACACAGCCGCCAGCTTGCTTCAGTACGACGACAGAAGCCTGATGTAAGATGAGGTAACGCATAGAACATGTCAGAAACTTGCGGCAACTGATGTAAGGAAATGTTTCCACAGGAAGGATGGCCCTTGACCCTTATGCTACCGCAGGGTCTTTGCGGGAGAACGGAGCCGGAACTCTCAAGAGGAGCACCACGCACAGCCCTGTCTCTGAGGCATGCAGTTTGGTTGGACTCCTGGCCTTCAGCACAGTCTCTCGGATCCTGGGCAAGACAGTATCCCGGCAGTTCTTACCCCCCCCCCCGGAGAATGTGAGTAAAGTGGAACCTTCTCGCGACTTCCACGCCACGTGTGTCCAGCATGACAGTGTTCGTACCCTTATGCTGCTTGTGCTGGTGACCTCCGGCCCAGCAGTGCCTCAACACTGCGAAAGCCTTTTTTTGCATGCTACTTTTTCTGTGTGCGTTATCGGTTTAACAGTCTAAGTCTCAGGTCCTAGGTTTAGTCATGGTTTGAGCCAAAGGCTCACAAACTAGGCGCATCTCATCACAACACAATTCAGGACAATGTACCCTGGAGGGGACCTGGCCCAGCTTTTCTATGCCAATACACACGAAGAGTCAGATGGGTGCAGAAAATTTGATAGTACATATGGTAGGGCTGGTAAGGCAGCCTCCGTAATCTCAGGGCCTTCCTGGACGCAGCGCGCAGCAGAGTCTGTTTGCAAGCGCCGCTGATTTGGACAGCGCGCCGTGCTCCAGCAGCCACCCAGCTTGCAGCAAACGACGGCGAGCCCTGTTTGCAACTGCAACGCTTGTCGTGATTCACAGCATTTGCAAATGTCAGCTTGTCACTGAAGCCGTATCGCAAGCAGAGTCCTGCTAGCTCCACGAGCCGGCCCACAAGGATATGTTTGGCCAAGTTGCAGACATGTTTGAGGGCCCTGCCTTCGAAGAAGACGGCGTGTTCAAACCTTGAGCGTACCAACAGTTTCTGCACTGACACACTTGGAAAGGTGAGCAGTGGCGGGCCCTGACCAAAATCAAGGTTCGAAAAGAGCCGAGCATAAATGCACCGCAGATGGAGGACAAGGTCATCGAGAAAGGAACTTGGCTGGATTGAGCCATGGGTTTGTGGGTTCGGCCCTGTTCCGAACTAAGCGTTTCACACTCCAAGTGTGAAGCTCCCACCTTCGAGTGCCAAGTCGGTGGCTGGGCACCCGGAGTGCTGTCCAAGGTGAAACATTCTACGTAGCTGAGAAGCGCAGGGCAAAGATCCCAACAGGCGGGTGGGTCACAGCCCTCTCTAGGACATGTACTGAAACGGCATGTTCCCTAGCTGAGCTCGGCATAACTAATTACTCACTCTTGGGTGGCGCGTCACCTCCCGACTCTTGACGTGTGATCCGTTGATGTCGGGTTGATGGGCAGGCGGCAAGAATCGCTTGTATTTGCGACTGGCGGCCGGCAAAGGCGCGCGTTCAAACAGACAATGACAGAATGGCATCGGATGGGGCTGCATGTCAGCAGACTTCTATGCAGGATGGGTCTTCGACCTCGGGGTGGCCGGCGAATGGCAGCCCGGCTGCAGTGTTGACGTGCCTAAACCCCTGCACGACAGGAAAAAAGCAACTCAGGTACGGAAAGCCCATAGCCGAGCCTGTCTACGAGGATGAATCTGACGACAGCCCAAATCCATTCGGCGAGATTGGCTGCTCGTTTGCTCAAGCTGCATGCTCCCCATGGCACGGCATGACGAAGATCGGCGAAGATGCCGTGGGCAGCTGTGCCTGTCTAAGGTGATGCGGTCGGCGGCATGTTCAGATGATTGCTGAGCAGAAGATAGCACGTGTGTCACACGAAAAAGAGCTCCGCGACGTGCCATGGTGTTTCGCCTTGGCCTTTGTGCACGATTCCCAGCTGGGGCAGAAAGAATCACCGGTACGAGAAGCTGAGGATGCACTTCGTGGGCTATGCGGACATGGCTGCGGCTGTGTCGAATGCTGGTGGCCTGGGGAGACTTATTTGCATTCAGCATCGCGCCGCAGGGTTGGAGCATGCCCGCGGGCAAGCGCTAACACACTTGCGCCAGGATCATCACAGCATTGACGGTGGCCCAGCCCCCAAAGGGCAAAGAGGCTTTGCGAGACGAGATCAGGCAGGAAGTGCCAGGGAACAAGTTTCGCACCCATGGGGCCACAAGCTGTCGACTACATCGATGTGACGCGAGGAAATGCCGCCAGCTGACTGACAAGACGAGACCTCGGACCATTTTATTTTGCAGTTTAACTGCGTGAACGTGCCGACAGCACCGTGAGGCCGTTTGGCGTGAACATCACGCCACAAGCCAAGCTGAGAGACTGCTGTCGATGTGGAGTCAGAGGCTTCGAGTAGTTTCGACTGTTCAGGCTGTTGCCAGTAGGAGTTCCTCCGGACTTTGATGGCATCGTGCAAGACGGGCTCCCAGTCGCGGCAAGAAAGAGCTGCTCCAGCCGGTAGCGTCAGCAGAAAGGTGTTGATCGAGGAGAAGGTCAAGGTAGTCGAAACAGCCGGGCGCAACCCCGAGAAGGTGATCAAACAGTGCAAGGCACATCGCTTGCATGTTCACAACAAAAGAAGGTTCGGAGAGCGTTGCGACATGTTACAGCGGTTTCGAGAGTTCAAGTCCGGACCAGGACGCTGGCATGTTCGTCATCCACAAATGTGTGGCAGTGAGGCACGCATTGACGGCACAGAAGATGGGCAAGCAACTCAGACTGGATGTATTTCATGCAGCATACCGGCTGGTCGTGATTGTCGTCGCCTTTGAAGGTGCTGACATGATTTCGATGGACGGTTTTGATTGCGGCGGCCATCCAGGCCGGAATTGTGTGCAGGCATGCATCTATGAGTTGTCGACAGGCGACCAGTTCTGTCCACTGGTAGAATCTAGACGGCAGTCTCACTCGACTGCAGGGGGTTTCTGCCTGACCTTTGCGCAAAGACGCGTGTCCCAGGTGAGGAAGACGTGGGAAACTGGGTGCTGTTGGCGCAGGCTTCGCAGGACTGAAGCCGCTGAAGCCCAAGACCTCAAAAAAAAATCTTGCTCTGCACTGGCACAGGAGCTATCCATTCCCTTCGTCGCAAGCGGAGGCTCGAACTTTCCAACCCACTCTCTGCCTTAGAGAGATCGAATCGAAGTTCGCAACCCCATAGTCTGCTTGGCGCTAAAGCCTTTGAACGAGGTTCAGGGTTAGGGCCACTGTCCGTGCGATGCACTCATCCCCATGGTTTCAAGTGCCATGGCTTGGTGTGTTGACCTGAGTGTGTTGCACGTGTACATTTTAGCTGCCGTGTTGGACCCGTTGCGTGAAACCTTGCCTGCCATGCGCCAGCACTGGGCAAGAGCTTTGAAAGGCGAGTATTCGTCCAACGCAATGACCGGGGGCAGGGGGTTCAAAGCTTGCGAAGCGGCCAGGAAGCTCATGCGGGCCAACCTTATTCTGGTTCACGGCAGCGCGTCTCTTCCTAGCACTTTTGAAGCTCGCGGCCAAAATGTAAACATGGAAGATGTGGGCTTCGGACAAGACCGAAAGCACTCGATGGGTCACACCCTGTCAAGCCTGTCGAGCATCAAACGAATTCGGCTCTCCTTGAAGTCTCTTGACGTCGTTCTGCTTCAGAGGCGTAGGGTTCTCACACCGAATTTCCATGAACCTGAAGATGAATTTCAGTACTTCCCTCGAAGGTACTGCGACAGGGGTCCAGCTGGCTGCAGCGCTTGCGATGGGTCTGCAGCCGAGATCGAGGCGCTGAGTCCAAGCCCGGTGGCCTGCAGAGGTGCCGAGGGGATCAACATGGGGACACGCTTTATGGCGACCAAAGAGGCTCACTTCCGGAAGCACAAGTGCATCGTCGCGACAACACCGTGGAGCGGTCTGGCCGCATAGCCCATGTTGGTGAAGGCACCCATTGTACAGCCCATCAAGGATGTCATGGTGAAGGCCAAAGTGACGGACCGCTGTGTACCGCAATTGATTTTGCTTCGGTTGTTCCACACGGCAGCAGCTCTGCTGCAAACTAACGTAGCTACTGGGCAACTTGCAGGACACAACCCATGTCTTCCGCAGCTTGAAAAACACCGAGCGGGTGTACAAGAACAAAACAGCTGCAGAGGCGGTGAGTTTGCAGAGCACTGCGACATCGCTCATGGATGCATGGTGTCCTTCGTGTTGATTTGTTCCGCTTCACTGGCTTGCAGAGGGAAGGTAATAGTCAGCCTTTTGGACGGCCAATGGCTGCGTGGTGAGACTAATGGATGATCCGAGCAAACCCAAGGTCCGAGCCTGCTGGTTCTGAGATTGCGCTTGTTAGTCTGCGCTTCAACCATCTTTCCAGGCTACCATGCAGCAACGGCTTGCACTGGGCAGCATGTCTGTAGGAGTTACACACACAGGAGGAGCCATGGTTTGGCTCGAGGCACCAGCCGTTGGCTTATGCTGAGCGGCAAGGTTACAATCTCAAGACCAGACTGGGCCCTAAAAGAAAGAGGTCAACATGACGTGCACAGACTAGCAGTGTTGCAGTCTGCAAGGCTCACATCCTCCAAGTTGAGAGGATGACAGAGCATCACGTGCTTCATGTTTCTAGCCTCTCAGATCCGATGTTCTTCGCTTTATCAGTTAGTGGGTCAGTTCCCACGCACGTTGCAGAATTTGCAGGTTTGTCTGTCAGTTCACGCCTCCAAGTCGAGATCCACCTCCTGATATGAGAGCGTCCTGCTCATGATGTTTTTAGGGATAGGATAACCTATGCCTCAAAAGCCTCTGTTCTCGCAAAAATGAATGGAGTCGCTGTTTCTTTCGTCCGGGATGAAGCTGTTCTGTCTGTCAGGCAGTCTACAACAGCCATGTCTGCACAATTGGATTTACAAGAAGTTTCGGGGTTTTCAATTCAGGGTTTTGGGAAGTATTTGGCATCCGAAAACGCACTATGTCGATTCGAGCGAGCGTCCACCAGAAGGTGTAAAGTGTAACAAATGGGACGGCAGACCGCACGAACCTGGGACTGCAAGGTGTTGCAGTCGAATCGCTTGGAACGAAGCACTGGTCATTCCTACACCGCACCGGACCGCACCAGTACTAGTACACTTTGTTTTGGCCCAGAATCAATCTAATACTTGGAAACGGGGCTTGAGATTCAACGTGACGAGTACATGTAACTCCCCAAAATGTCAGGCCAAGATTCATGCCACAGTTCAGCTCATGTGCACCCACACATGGCCTGAAGAGCTGCACGTTAGTATTTCAGAGTGCCAACCAACCCTTAGCAACGATGTGGTCATTTGTCCTCGCGTTGCTGCCTGCAAGAGGTGCTCATCCACCCGAATGATGAACTGCAGTTCATACCCATGCTCACCGTCGCTCGACCACATTCGCAGTGTTTCAGCCGTCGAACAAAAGTGAAAAAAGTCCTACGTTGGAGCCCACCCAGAAGCCTCCGTGTTGCAGCGCTAGCTTGGTGACTTGCTACTTCCCCACTGGCAGAAGAGGCCTGTCCAGAGTTGCTGCCGTTGCTTCATGCAGCTGGAGTGGCTTCTGCTGCTGCGCTGGCGGCCACGTGCAGCAGCGCTGCTCCGGTGCACGCTGCACTCCCAAAGGCTTGGACTCTTCATTAGCATTAAGCCAATCGCCAAGATACGTGCATGTTCCGATGCTCGAGTGATTCCAGGTGGCACGTGCTGCACCGATCACAGGCCGGGTGAAGCTTCGAAGGTTCTTAACGAAAGGGGCAGTCGCAGCTGTCTGGAACTTGCCGTGACGCTACATGCTCATTTAGCAGCGTGCGAAATTGCACAAGCCCACTGAGCAGCTGTACAGTGCAATGCGTCAGCATCACAGCCATGAGGGCGATTTTCGACCTGATAAAAAATTCTTTGTGGCCGGCTTGCATCCAGAAGCGAGATGTCGGTTGGCAGGTGTCTTACTAGCGCGTGCAGACTATGCTCAACTGCTTCACTGTCCAGACCTCTCGGACGGTACATGGCACGAGGTGCCGCTTCCACAGGCACACGACATGCAAACATGTAATGATGGTGTTTGTGCGGTTCTTTACCCTGAAGGCTACGACTGCGTGTGAATTTGCCAAATAGTCGGAATGCAGGCATCAGCATGCCTTCGTTCACGCGACGTTCTTTTCAAGTCATCTAATCCGACTTCCCCTTTCGATGGCCAGGGCATGCCCACCTATCTTAGCTGCGCAGCAGCCTTCTATCGGGACCACATTTACACAGTTGGTCTCCTGCCAGCACCAGAGATTGACATGTCGTGGAGTGTGAACTTCCCGACAGGGTGTAGACTTGCGGAAGCTTGTTTCATATTCACATCCCTCAGGTGGCGGTGCTCCATATTTGGATGGGAAAGTCGTTCGGGCAACATGCTACAATTTGAGGGACGGCACCTGGTCGGAGCTGTCGCCGATGCCGACAGCCAGGACTCAGCGTTTGTCGCCAAAGGCCAGGCACCAACAAAGGAGTGAACGAGCAGGAGCCACTGTGCGGCTGTCGGCTGCTGTGGAAGGTTGGTGGCAGCTTAGCTCTCATGCGTCGTAGGCAAAGCAAGATTTGGACGGAAGGAAGTGTTTCGGTGTTACAAGTTGTGTCCAAGATTTCTACAGCAGCCAGCCAAGCCAGCCAGTCCTTCACGCCGAGGTCATTGGTGGCAAAGCAGATGATGACCAGCCACTGGACACGGTGGAGGTTTTTGATCTTGCTCAAGGCGCCTTGAGTCAAACGTGCGAAGCCGGTCTTGCACATGTTGCATCTAGATCTGCCGAGGAGAATGGGAATGCTGGTCGTGCTTGCCGATGGGTTTAAGTGGCCCGCTTCAAGCGTCTGTTTGCTTCGATGCATGCACGGAGGGGACATGAATTTGCGAAACTCAGCTTGTGGGCATGGTACCAACGCTTATGACGCTGATTTGAGGCTGTTGCAGTGCCGTGTCCGTTCACAGGCTGCACAGTGTGGTGGCTCTGGGCTGTGACGATCAGCGTACTCACTTGTTCTGTGGCGATCTGGCCGCAAAGGAGTGGAGAAGCCTTCCAGCAATGCCTCGGGAAAGGTGGCAACCCGCCCTATTGGAGCTCGCAGAGTACTTGATCACGATAGGTGGCATGGTGCATCCAGATGAAGATATTGGAGCTGTTGATGTTTTTGACATGCGGACTGGTCAATGGACATCAGCCAATCATGGCTTGCACGTCCCTGATATGCCAGAGTCGCGTACTGACCCCGCCGTATGTGCGCGCACCGGCCGAGTCTACGTGCTTGGAGGGATGAAAGCAGGACCGGTGGAGACCGTGGAATGTCTTGACCTGTGGTCAAGACAGTGGCACAGGCTTCCGGATATGAAGGAGGCCTTCTCGGCTGCAGGCACAGCAATATCCTGTGTGTGACGGGGGCAGCCTGGTCTCTGGACGCTTCACCCCGAGTTGACGGCAGCGCACGCAAGAGGAAGGTCAAGCTTTTTGCCTTGCTCCATCCCTTTCTGTCTTCCCATGTAGTCGCCAGAGCCGGGGGGCACTTGAGAGCCGCCAAGACCATCGCCAACACGTGGGAGATCCGGATCGTGAGTGGGACAAGAAATTTGGATTCTTGTGCTGAGAAGCTTCGGCGTTTCCGCGTCGGTTGGTGGACCATTGTATCGTGCAGAGATCTCGGGGCAACCGGCGCTTGTGGAGGTGAGTTCATGTCGTTTGGCAAACCAGAAGATGAAGTTGGCTTTTGGCTGCACGCTTCCATCCCTGGTTCTCATTAGCCTTATTGCAATGCCCTTGATTTGGGGCTGGCCCTGCAGAGCGCACGCGAGTGATCGTCTAGACGGCCAGCACCAACGCCTTGGCCGAGTTGTCCCGAAGACGCCGGGAGAACTGCTTTCCTGAGAGTTCCTGAGAAGTGAGACTGGGCAGTCGAAAAATCCAGAGACTGCAGAAATCGAGATGTACTTTGCGTGCGTGCACCTGTCTCTTCGCACTTGTCACGTTTCAAGTTCTGAACATGTACCGCTTGGGCAGCAGGTGCAGAAACTCGAGTCCGAGAAACCAGGGGACTGGAAGGGTTTGAGATAATGCTTGGTTCTGCCAAAGTTTCAGGCACTGGGTGAGCTGCGAGCCTGAATGCAACAGCACCCAGCATGTTGTAGCGAGCTCGTTGCAGGATTTCTTTGCCATTGCCCACCTAGTCAAGGGTGTTTGCCTCAGCTTGCGTTTCCTAGACTGCCAGCGAATTCACGATCGGCAACAAATTCCAATTTTCTGCTGACATGTATGAGATCCGAGCCCGATGTAGAAACCAGATCAGAAGCTCTTTCCTGTCTGAGACATGCTGAGGTGAGAATTATCGAAAATCCTTCCAGGCCGCTGATGCGATGTGGCACTCAACTCTTCGGCGTCGTAGGATTGAGACACCACGTGGCTTGCAGGAGACTGGAGATTCCGAGAGCTCCGTGTGGTCGGAGACTCGGCACTGACCAACGCATCAGCAGAAGTCCTTCAACATTTCGTTGGGCTGCAGAGCCAGAGGTCCTGCGGCCAGTCCATTGGCCTGATAAAGGACATCCCCACATGCCAGGACAGCCCGTGTCGCGTGGGCGAGTCGCGAGCGGCACGCCCATGACTCCGGGAGTCCGTAAAGAAGTCTTGCCCAGGAGCTACTTGATAGGATGGCTCATGCCTGAGAAACTAGCGGTGCCTCCAAAGCGCTTCGGCGTGCTTGTCCGGCTGATGAGCAGACCCTCTCGAGGTGGTCGAGGCAGAGGACATCATCAGAAATAGGTTACAGTCGAAGCTCTGAACACCAGGAGCGCAGCGGTTTGCAAGTCGAAAGGCACGTCTCTTGTGCAGATCTGGAGCTCGACACAGTGCCAGGCATTGATTGGATGCCACGCCGAGTTCGCGCTGCTGAAGCGGCGCTCAAGTTCAGAAGAACTGTCGCTGCTGGCAACTGACGTTCCACCTGGTGCAGCCATCAGCGCTGTCCCAGCTTATGCGAATGCAAGGCTCTCGAGCTGGGTCCATTAGTACGCATGCGGAAGGATACAGCAAAGCCGGCACTTATCGTGACCAGAAGATACCAGAATCTTTGCATGCAAGATTTTGCTTTTGTTATTGGCCCCAGTGAGCTAGCATGTTTGCCGCATGGCGCCGCACGTGCTGTTCAGCTGCAGCTAAGTGCAGCCGGTTGAATTGCTCGGCGGCGGCACTAGCTGCACAACCAAGAAGTGTTAAAAAGACACCAGCAGTACCTTAGCTGCTGGATGCCTTTTCATGGCGCACCGGCATGCCAGCTCTGCCAATTCAGAAATAGTTCTTCTTCAGCTGGGAAGCTGGAGTTGCACACCTGGCCCAGCAGTGCCCCCTTCCAGATCAGCAGACAGAGCGAACCGCACGCCTGCAGACATAGACGGGTTACGTACTGTAAGCTCAACTCGGCCAGCAGGTCACACTATCGACGGGTTTTCGGCACGGTATCCCACGTGCAGAGCTCATTGGTCGCCATGGCGTCAGAATGGGCCCCCGCCCAGCTTCCGCTGGACCAACTCGGCGTCGGGAGACCCAAGGTCACTTCAAGACCTCCCAACAAAACGGTCCGCAGCGACAATCCACAGCCCCTATTCCAGGTCACAGCAGTGCAAGTGCATCCCAAGCTGTACCAAGATCAGGCTGGGTGTGGGACACCATCAGTTGGCTGCCACTTGCCTCCTTGTCATCACATGTTCCGACAAAAGAGGCCAGGGCAGCGAAGAAAGGAGGAGAGGATCTGGCCGTCAGTGCGGTCGCCATTTTCCCTCCGAGTTGGTTGACTACGACATGCTGCCGCCAGGACACAACTTCTTCCGTTTGGCCAATCTGCGAGGTGCACAATCCAAAGTCACGCCCATGTATGTTTGCATCAGAAGTCTCCTTCAGAACCATGTGCGGATATGAAGCACTGCCTGTTTGTTCGTCAGGAAGGGTTGGTAGTTGAAAATGTCCAGGCTTCAGGGCTCCAGAGAGACTGCGAGACCGGCACCGACACCTGCCAGAGTCTCAGTTTTGAGGCTATGGCGGCACAGGTCGGTGTTCATTCTCAGAGATGTTGGATCTCAGGCGTCTTTGGCACCAACAGCTTTGCTGGACCAGCTTCGCACGGCCGCGGGCCTCACTTCATCAACCTGCATCCACCGTAGCAATCCCTTGCTGTGCCCTTTGCCAGAAGGCATTAGCCTCAGAGAAGCGATCGAGGATCGAAGCAGAGCAGGCAAAGCGTTCAAGGGTTGGCAGCTCTTCGATTTGCGTGCGAATCAAGCAGGCCGTGAAAAGCGAGATGCAGGACGGTGCAGCGCATTTCTTTCCAAAGGAGCTCCCGCCTTGTCTCGCAGGTGCAGTTAGAAGCTTTGCAACTGCAGTTTCGGAACGAGCTGGAAGAGACCAACGTGTGGATCCCGGTACACAGCAGCAACACGGAGCGGCCGACTTGGGATGCACAGGCTCTTTGGCATGCCAAGCTGACTATGGAGCAAAGAGAGCAAGAAGCTTGCATTGAAGGCTCCGTCACGCAAAACAGCCGGCTTTGTTTGGCAGCATGACATCAGAGCATGGCCGTTTTGGTTATGCAGAAGAAGAAAGCATGGTACGGTGTTAGGAATGTTGTGCTCCTGCTGTTGTGAGACCGTAGGACCCCCCTCTACGTCGGCTCGTCTGATTCTTAGAAAGAAAGACATACCATACCTGGCATTGCGCAGCAGAACTGCTGCCCCACATTTCGAATGGCCGATCGACCTTAACACACGGCATCCGGGACAAATTGATAAGACTCCACTGGATACCATCGGAGACCACCTGCCAGCAGACACAACGGCGCTGGACCATGTGGTCGGACAGAATCCGAAACAGCAAGCAGACTTGCTTCTTGCCGCGAAATACGGGTTGACAGGCTGGATGGCGGAGGCCGATCGGAACAAAGCTGAGGCAACGAATTGCACATCAGTAACGGTGTCATCGATATTGATCATCATTCCTGTTTGCACAGGTTCGTCTCGCAAAGCATCTTGAGGCGCAGAAGCAGCTTAGTTTGATGCTGGACAAAGAAAAGAGATTTATAGATGAGGGCAAAACATGAGGGCCGTTCACAAGTACAGCCTTTCCTCCTATTCAGAATGAAAACCTCGCAGGCAGAGGCCCATGCTGCAAGCTGTGCGAACGAGGCTTTGATCAACCCTGATCAGCTTTCCTGCTACGTAGAGCCGGCGAGGACACCATCAGAGACCTGCAGGAGCAACTGCTGAAGAGCGAGGCGACTGTAGACGAAGTAATGCTTCGGATCAGGGTTGATGCGGACGTTACACAAAGGCTGAGATTCAAAGCGTGCGTGTGGAGGCAGGGATGCCGCAGAGTAGTAAAAGAGCAGACCGAGCTCAGATCAGGCCCGGTCTGCGATGGAATCCAGCAGAGTTGGGAGCTCAGGACGCTTCAACATGCTTCCATGGCAAAGTTCATGGCAATATCCTTGTCGGACACTCGTATCCAAAAAGACTCTGCAGGCATGCGCGCATCTAGAGGCACTAGTTGCACGAGGCCAGCCCTCGTGCCGGAAGTCCATGGGTGGCCGAGGGTTCCCCGCTGAGGCCAACGACACGAGAGAGATGCTGCCGAGCTGCGTGCCGGACACCAACACCAACACAAGCAAGTTGGCAGTTTCACCACTGAAGCTCAGAGTGCCGTACCGTCAGGTTACCGTTGGAGTTCTCCGCGAGCGTTTGTCAAGACAGGAGCAGGCCGCTGCTTCAACAGAGATTCTGAAGGCTGAGCCCGAAGAAAAGGCCATGGTACGCCTTCGCAGAGAGAGCTCCCTGGGGGTGTCAGAGGCCCGGCCTTCCGGATTGAGAGCGAACCGAGCGAAGCGAGCGCAGGACAGCGGAGCCCACGGTGCACTGGCACGGCCTCCTGTTCCTGCGCCCTTCGCGCAAGGACGCCAAGGTGGTGCTCTTCGAGGTGCGGCACAGGTTTGGCTTTCCTTCTTTACACGCTGTCCACGCCATGCAGGCCTCGCCAAGGGCATCGGATCCGGATATGCCTGCCACCTGCTACGTGCTCGTGAGAATGCGGAATTCCGATGCCTAAATGCATTTGCGAGGCATCGAAAGCAGCACCTTTGACCCCATTGTCGGAGGCACCTGCCAATGTGTTGTGGATATCCTTTTCCCAAAATTAGCACATTCCTGAAGGGGTTCGTCTCCAGTGAATTTGACGAGAAGCCCTTGAAATCAGCACCGGCCTTCCTAGCCTTTCCCGTTCTCGGTCTTTGTCTCGGTGCGCATCAACATACACATGGCGATCGGCTGCTAAGAGATGGGAATTCGCTCGAAAGGCTCGACGCTGCCGTTCCATCGTGTTTTTCGAATGTTCAGTATGTTCGGAACCACGGCCACTGTGCCTAAAGTTGTCGGTTGTTGGGAGAACCCTCCTCGGGTTTGGATTTACTTAAGCGCCACTCGGCGAAGGACAGAAGCGAGCTTTGACACTTCAACTCTGGCAGAAGGCAGTCCACGACTCGTGCGATACAGAGAGAATCAGCATGAGCGGAAGGCGATGCCAAATTTCGGTCACCATCTAATCTGCATGGTGGCGAAGCTGGGTATAGTCGAGGTTAGGAGTATGGTGTAAACATGGTTTGATTAGATTGTTGCTCGACGACTGGGCTTTGCGGGCCCTAGAATTGCTCATCATCAGACAAATCAGATCATTATGTCTACGCGTGTTCGCATGTCGTGTCGTCGGCATGCCAAGAGTCAGCGGTCGTGCAAGCATCAGCAGGCATCAGCAGGCCAGGCAGTACGGTGAGTTGCAGACACCGGAAGCACACGCGACCGTTGAAGATTAGATGTGCCTAGGTGCTGACCACGTAGCAGGGATGCTCGCAGCTGCTCTGTGTATTGCAGGATGGACCTGTGGTGCCTCCTTACACACCCAGCGAGGCAATGCAATTTCCATGGCGGAGACTGCTCTTTGAAAGCCACCCGGCATGTGCTGGTGTTCAGGAGAGTTCGATGCACCCTGTCCTGAGCGCTCTCGACCCAGCTCCGCCCAGCAAAGAAAACCCCCATCTGACGAACCGTGCTGAGGCAAGTCGGAACTCTCTTTGGTCCGAGGCTGGAGCTTGGCATCGCAACACTGCACGACACGCCACGAGCAGTTTGTCTGAAGCAACTCTTCTTTTCGTAGTCAATTTGGCTCGCTGGTTGCTGCACGGACAACCCTCCCGGTAGCCAGAAGCGAAATCAGCTGCATGAGATTGCAAGCCGAAGAAGGTGCAGTGCTGCAGGAACCGACACCACGCCTTTGCCGAACACAGTATGTAACACAGCTCCGGATGCATGCAGTCTGAAGTAAAGCAGAACAAACGAAAACACAGGGGAAATTACATGCTCGTGCGCTGTCCACGCAACGATGCTGTCCAAACAGGCGTGGGATCTGTATTTGTAGTCAGCTAGCTGGCCTTCCGTGGCAAAGTCTAGACTCTAGACAGTCTAGACACTACCACACGGGGTGCCCAGGCCTTTCGAGGAAGCTTCTTTTGGCTCATTCCGGTGCTGGTGCTCCTGGCGTGTACAAGAAAGATGGGGAGGGGCACATCACAGCTCTGGCCAGGCAATGGATCAGATGGGACACTGCTCAGACGAGGTTCGACTCGCGATCCGCTGACCGAGCGCCCTCTAACGGCTGCAATGCAGGAAGCATTCGATGAGGAGGCGGTTGCACAAGAAGTGCAGCTTTTGCAGAGGCAGGACGAAGATTTGAGGTTCGCAGCAGCAGGGTTCGGGCTTGGATCTGTCTGAGGTATCACCACCTGCAACGGCCATCACAGTGGTCGCCTTTCCAGAAGGCTGGAAACCATGCTTTGAAGTAGCGCACTGCAGTGCACAGATTCTTGGACAGGACTTGGCACTGACACATGTGCCGTGTACCTTCGGTCACAGTGTGGAAATGGCAGCCCTGCCGGGATTTACTTGGTGCGGATACTTTCTCTGACTTAGCCAGCCGTGGTTGCTGCATCTGCCAGGCAGGTCTACAGCTGCCTCGTTCTGACCTGTCAGATTGGCTGAAGGTCCTCTGCAGTTTGAGTTGGTGCGGCAGAGGGCATTCAGAGCCCGGCCACAGGTCTGGCAGTCCTTCAACACCACGCCGGAGGAGGCATCGGAAGCTGCTCTCCTGAAGCGTGGATTGCAACTGGGCTCAGGGGCTTGAGCTGATGCGGTCTGACATGGGCTCAGTGCAACGGACTACTTTGAGTCACTTTCGCTACAACTTCGGGACCTGCCGATGCCCCAGGCCACTGCTCCGGATGTTCCTCTGTGGGGCATGATGGACTGACGAAGAAAAGAGTTGCTGCGCATCTGCAGACTGAGAGAGCCCGACATCAGCGGAGGATCCCGTTCTGCGCGGCTTCTCCAAGTTGACTGGGTGCCACTTGTACTATACGCCACCGAAGTGCAACACTCAGATCCAAGTCTCCAAGTGCAGAAAGAGCAAAAAGAGAAAGCAGTAGACTCAGTAGAGTTGTGAGCCTTTCAATTATTGCTGTCAGGTACTTACCCAAGGATGTCGGGCAGCAGTATTACGGCAATAAGTCGGCGTTCACATTCCTGCGGGATCCGCCGCGGACCTGCAACTGCAGTAGAGCTGCAACGGGATTCTGCAGCCCCACCGTGACCCAGGTACGACAGAGCTGTGAACGACTTCCGGGCGCAGGCGGCTGTTCTTGGTGCTACGCAAGTCTCGAAGTTTCGTCAACCTGGTCTCTCGGAGGTTTTTGGCCTCGACTCGATTTTTACAATGAGCTGCCGACAAAACACTTCCGTGAGGGAAGGGCACCTGGAGAGAGAGAGCGAGAAGTACCGGAACTGGTGACCTCGGTTTGCGTTGCAAGTCCTTATTCCGGCAAATCGGTGCACTCTTGGGCTCAGGTACAGAACTTGCGATGTGAACTCCTACTTGCGAGCAGAGCTGCCCAAGGTGCCTGGCGATGTTCGTGTGGGGCTATGTGTCTTGCATCGTTGGACCAGGTGCTGGAAGGAGACATCTATAGAGCCGACTGCCACTTCCTGCCCCAGGCGCCAACAGCACCTGCAAAGTTGAGCGCAAGATATGAAGATCCGAGCAGGCGGACTACTTTGAAAACCCGTTTGCTGAAGCCTCAGATGCAAATCCCAGGCCCGCAGGTGCGGAAAGCAGACAGGCGAAATGGTCATTCGCCTTGCCTCGCCAAGGCCAACACGACTGCCATTGACAATCGAAAAATTCCAGAATCGTTCAATGCACTCATGCCTTTGCCCAAGATGCGCAGCTGTTGTGGAAACCAACTTGGTCGAAGCCACTCAGGGTGGAGCGCGGATATTTCAATATCACCATGCCGTTGCCTTGGATCGAAGACTCGAAAGAGCTGTGATGGCTTTAGATTGCTCAACAGTCCTGAGGCCTCGTACGCTGCACAACTATGTGTGCAACAACATCAGCTGGGCCCCCAGGGGGTTGCACAAGGTCGTCGGATCGCTGTAAGCATCGAGGTGCCTACACCTTGGCGGAAGACGTGAAAATGCTTATCCGGAAAGTTTATGCCAGGCTGAGACGTTCGGTCATGCACTGCCAAGGGGCGCCCATGCGTTGCACATCCCTGCCCCCATTTCGAAGGTCTGTCCTTTGGTAATTCCCGCACTTGTTGCCGTGTCGCAGGGACTTCGACCTCATATGCAGTTTGTTCGGATACTGCGACAGGGAAGAGGCTCAACTGCTTCACTGCCGTTTGTGTCGCTGCTGCAGACAACGACAAGAAGATTCCAGATGCCAGGTAACGTGTCTTGGCCAGATCCCGAACATGCCAGGGCCTCGATGGGACTGTGTGACCGATTGGAGCTGATGACAAGCGAAAGCTAGAACAGCCAGGTGTGGCGGCAAGCCCGGCGTGAACTCCACAGCCTTCTCAGCCAATGCGGACAAGGACGCCCAGTTGATGCAAGCAGCTAATGACCTTTGCCACCGTTCAAGGCATGGAAGGGCGTAGCAGGCTCGTGAACAACTTTCTGACCTGCTGCCCGAACCGACTGTAAGCAAAAGAGGATGTTCGCTCCAAGTACTTCCCTGAGTGGCCTTGTGGAAAGCCGGGTGAAGCTTGACAGTGGCAAGGTCGAACAGCAACGAGTTTTGGCAGTCTGTAGGTAAGGACTGTTTCCGCTGTGCAGCATCGAAAAGTGCGTCCGTGCATTGGCAAGCAACCGGCATGGTCCCAATCCGGGTTCCTGTCCCCTTTATTCATCTGAATCGTCTGTGTTGGACCGTTGGACCGTTTCCAGAGCAGGCATCGTCAATGCCGGATGCTTTCAGCGCTGCTGAGTCCTTGGCATGTAGTCATTGTGCGGCATGCTGCCCCGCAGACATTGAGCGGCGGCCCATGAAATTCCATGGCATGAATGGCCGAGGCAAGGCGCGTTGAAGAAGGCCTGTCTTCGAGCTCCGCCGTAAGAGTTTCACTCTTTGGCTGGCCGTTCATCTAGGCAACCAGGAAGTGCTTGGCTCTTCAACGGGTTCACTGTTGACGCAAGAAGCTCATCATGGTGGCTCTGATTTGCTCGTAGGTTTGGTGCCAAAGTGAGTCATGCATGTGTCCTCGACAGCTTCTTGGTTTGGACGAGCAGATCTATGAATGTAGCATGGCCTTAAGCCATGACCCCTCTGTGGCAGACACCGAGCACACGCCGATCCTTTGCGTGGCTGATGCAAGCAAAGAGCAAAGTGAGCAAAGCGCTTTGGAGTGAACGGTGGTGATTGCACACGTAGCGTGCACTGAGGTGGCTCCGCTTCTCGCTTCGGGGCTGCTCATCCTTTACATATATCGTGAATGCTTTGACTGGCTGGAGAGGACAGCGACAAATTGCTAGCTACAGAACCACACAAAGTTCAGGCCGCACTGTCCTCTGAAATCCTGCTACAAGCATGCAGGACTCTTGCAAGAGACGAGCTCCGTGGAGACATCTACGAGAGGTTACTCACACCCGATCTGGCGCAGGCAAGCTATACCGAGACTTGTTTGGCTTGGTTTTGGCCGGATTTTCTCACATCGAACTCCAAGCCTAATGCCATGCAGGGGTTGCATGCTTCTTCTCTTCTTGACTAAGACCAACTTTGCAATCGCATTCCTGAGAAGACTGCCACCTGAACAGGCGTCGGCTCCCTGGTACCGATTTTGGGGTCAAAGATGTCTCCAATTCTGTATCAGAAAAGCCGTACATCACAAGGAGGCTGTCGAGAGTCGAGACTGGTCACTGGGTGTTCTTTCCAGTGCCATGGAGAAGGACATCCTCCTGGCCTTCCACTACTATACATTGATGTACGTCCGGTGCACAGAATCTGGTCTGTTTAGCGATTTCGTACCAGAGCAGAAGTCCCGCCTCATTTGGGCTTCCGAGGTTGTGTGCGGATATCTGATTTGCGCTGAACTTCGGAGCACTTATAGGTGGGATAGCTGCACCTCCTTGAGGCCTCTCCCTGTGCAGCACGCAAGGCTCTTGCAGCCAACGAGCTGGCTGGATCCTGGCAGCATTCACGAGGCGTTTAACCACGAGAAGAACTTGCCAGAGTGGCCATGAGCTCAGAAATGCAGACATTGCGAAGATGAACGCATGTTGACTGCTGTGACGTGGCAGTGCGAGGTGGCACCAGGAGCTGCGAGACCTGCTTCCCGATGGGCTCCATCTATTGCGCTTTTTCTCGCTTTCAGCCCCTTTGTTCTTGCTGCTCACATACGGCGCATGCTTTGCCAACACGGCACGCCATGTCCCTCCTCGAAGTTGGTCCGACGAGTTGTTTCGAGTTGTGTGTCGCACAGCTGACTACACTCTACACATCGAGCATGCGAGCATACCACGGCAAGGTATACAAAATGTGGACAAAGGGTGGCGTTCTTCGCGGAAACCCTGGGATGGACGGCAGCATCATGATTATAGCATTGCCAATGATTTCGTGCATGATGGCTTACCGCTCGGTGACACGAATGTGGATGATCTGTGTGAACAGCAAAGTCGGTAGCCTCGGCTATGTTGAGGACTTCGAGGGAAACAAGACATGGCTTGCACGTCTTGTTGTTTGTCAGAACATGCATCCCGAATTTAGATGCAGATTTTTTTAGATGTTAGTCCTGAGTGTTTGGACGCAGGCCCCCCTTCCTTGTTTACAGGCTTCCCCGTTCCAGTCAACGCAGGTACGATACAAACTTTCTCTTGGCAGATGTTTATGAGTCATGGGCGCTGCTGCACTTTGCTGATTTGGCATTGCAGATCATTTCCGCGGGGAACATCTCGGATGAAAGGACGACGAAGCTGGACAAGAGCCTCCAAACCTTGACGAAGCAAGGCTGCGCGGACTGCATATGTTGCCGAATGTTGCATTCAGATTGAGTGTCACGGCGGCTTCGTGCTGCAGGCATTTACCTCTTCAACGGGACCTGCTTCATGGAAGCTTTGTACCATTTGGTGACTACGTCCGTGGAAGCTTACCTTGGTGGGGATTACACGCTGTCGTTCAACAAGATCGTGTACCGCATTCGCTCAAAAGTACACTTCTTGTTCCTGGGGATGGGCAGTGTTGCGTCAACTGCAGCCATTGGTAACGTAGTCACTGTTGAGCCTCTCGACAGTAAACCTGAGAACACCGCTGTACTGTGTTGAAGTCTTGGTTTAAGTTCTGGAAGGCACACCTAGCATAGCCTGGCCGAAGTTTAGACTGAACAGAACAGAATGTGCTACTATGCCGGAGGGCTTCATAGCACGAGCACAGGCTGACATTTTCGGAGTCTTTGATGTGCTTCGAACCGCACATGAAGTTCTGGTCCACCAAGATTCTACTGACTCTCGGGTTTATGCGTCTCAGCTCGACTGGGATGGTGATGCGAGTGTCACGTTGGTCAGGCCTTGCATGACGATGTTAAGTCATTGGTGTTAGCTTCAGGCAGTCACTGCTACTGGAGATTCCGCCGCTGTCCTACCTGTCTGTAACGGAGAAGGCGGTGTGATGTAGCTGTACCCACGCCCGTTGTTTTCGTGACAATGACTTGGCCTAACCCCTTTCAGGACCTTTTCTACGCATCAGCCCTTTGTGCAGAATGCTTTGGGGTTAGTCTGCTCCTCTGGCGGGCGTGGAACCCTTCAGAGCAATGGCTGGAAATCTTGAAAGAGTTGCTTGGCCAGCAATCGCTGTGTTGAGAGTGATGTGCTTGTCCACTGCACTATTGCACTGCGGTTACCAGATTAGCTGTGTAGATTTTACTTTGTTGTTTCGCTGTTCTTGTGTGTGCTCCTTTCCCTACCGAACAAGTATAGTATTTTGACAGAGTGGCCGTGTGCAGTGCGATAGCACTGTTTAGGAATCTAAGCTCGGTTCATGGTTTGACCCAAAGGAAGTTCCTTTGGGTTGGGGCAGATCACGGCTTTGATGACCCTGCCCAGTTCCTTCGACGATTCCGGCTCATCATATATCATATATCCCAAGCACGCCCATTCATTGGGCGATTCCGGTTCATCATATATCTTGAACACGCCCCCTCATGTGGCGCTTCCGGTTGATCATATATCATAAACAAGCCTCCTCATTGGGCGAATCCGGTTCATCATATATCGTATATCTTAAACACGCCCCCTCATTTGGCGATCCGGTTCATCACATCTCTTCAACGCGCCCCCCTTGTTTGACGATTCCTACCCTCGTCGGGCGATACCGATCCATCATATAGCTTGAACACGCCCAATGGAGCGATTCTGGTTTTCATCATACGTATATATTAAACACTCCCCCTCACGTGGCGATTCCGGATCGATACATGTTATCTTAAAAACGCTCCTCATTTGGCGATTGCGGATTATCATAAATCTTACACACGCCCCCTCATGAGGTCATCATACATCTCAGACACGCGCCCTCTTTGGCGATTCCTGTTCATCATATCTCTAAACAACCCCCCCCCCCATCTGGCGATGCCGGTTTCAACATGTAAGATTCTGGGTCATCGGATGTTCATCATATATCTTAAGCACCCCCCCCCCCTCCTTCGGCGATTCCGGTACATCATATATCTTAAAGACGGCCCCGCACGTGGCGATTCCGGTTCATCGTATACCTTGAATACGCGTCGTCATTTCGCGGTTCTGGTACATCCTGTATCTTAAATCCGGCCCCGCATTTGGCAATTCTGGTTCATCATATATCTGAAACACGGCCCCTCATCATGAGGCGATTCCGGTGCAGGGCATTATAGTGACCATTCGGGCCAGCATGAACTCGGATGACTCCGAGATCCGAGCTGGTTCTCATGCGACAGCAACTACTTAAACGCATTGATGAACTTTTGTCGACGACGGTGGGTGACGCCCGAATTTCGTTTGAGCTGTTGTCGAATTTCGTCTGTGCTGTTGTCGATGTTAGGGCGCAATCATGATACATGTCCCGAAGCAGGGCTGGACTTCGTTGAATCGGTCCTCGTTCTGGCTGAACCCTACAGCAGGCGACTTCGTGGGCTTCTATGTCATCCGTGATTGCTGAAGCAAAGACGAGACTGCTACCTCATGGTGTGGTTGGTGCGCAGCTGCGGGGTGTACAGTCTAGGGTGCTTGGGCTTCAGGTTCGGGTGCGGGATCTGGACTCTTTACTCGAAAAGTGGTCAAAGACCAGGTAGACTAAACAGGTTTGTTGGCTTGCTGCTGCAACTGGCCGGTGTGGTATCTTGCTTCGGTTCTCCCTCGGTCACGGCGTGGTGGCGTCAAGCCTCATCTCTGAGAACCGAAACAGTAGGGGCTGCGATCCTGTGTATATGAGTAGGCCCGAAATCCTGAACTAGGCATTCTCGTATAGACAGGACACGTCGCGCATGGAAAGCAAAGGACACCTTACTTAGCAGGGTTTGTACTGCTGGTCTCTATGTTTGAATCCAAGGTTTCTCGTTCAGCTGGTTTCATCACAGCCGACATAAGACCACAAGCCTCGCCTGCATTGTCCGAGTGTGAGATGAGAGCCGAAATACCCCCGCCCATTTGGCGGCTCCGGTTCATCACAAATCTTAAGCACGCCCCACATTGGGCGATTCTGGTTCAGCATATCTTAAGCACGCCCCGCCCCCCTTTGGCGATTCCGGTTCATGACACGTATATTTTAAACACTCCTCCTCATTGGGCGATTCGGGTGCATCATATCATCATATATCTTAAACCCGCCCAATTCCTTCGACGATTCCGGCTAATCCTACATCCCAAACACGCCCGGCGATTCCGGTTCATCAAAAATCTGAAACACGCCCCCTCATCTGGCGATTCCGGTTCATCGGATATCAAACATGCCTCCTCCTTCGGCGATTCCGGTTCATCATATATCATATGCCTTAAGCCTTCCCCCCTTGCACAGTTGTTAAACCCGCCCCCAACTTTTCACGGGCCCGCGACCCGAGCGACCCGCGGCTCGCGGCACTGTTCAAACTTCAAAAAGAGAGCGGGGGGTTGAAGGGGGCGCAGCCGCAGACCCCACTGTTGGTAACCACAATGTTTGTATCAGGAGTGCGTTCTGTTTTGCTGGCAAATGTTATTTTGAAGCGAGATTGCACAGCATAGACTTGCCTGCTTGTGTGTGTGCTTGCTTCCTTGCTTGCCAGTGACAGAGGTGTGTGTTTGTCTGTATCATTTCCGTTGCTTGCTTGCTTGCCAGCGATCCCACCGGAAAAAGAATAAACACCGTTACACACCAAAAATGAAAAAACAAGGCAAAATGCCGCCACCCTGCACTGCTATTCTCATCTTGAGGCCTATCGCGAAGAAGAGTTGAAGGTGAATTCTGCTGTGTTGCCACCACCTCCACCAGTCCGACAATGCGACTTCAGCTTGTGGTGTTGACGGAGAAGTCCCACTCGGCGAAGGGTTGGCTCACACAAGGAGGTGTTGCAAACTGGATGCACAGAGTTCTGCGGTTGATGCGCAGCGGACAAGAGCTAAGATGCCTGAGACAGAACCATGACGGACCATGGCTTGTGAAACCGATCTGGCACTGTCGGACAAAATTGCACTGCGCTTCCTTCTGCCATGAACCAGGTGACGCATACGTGAAGAAAATATGGACACCAAGGTCAGTCGATGGATTCGCCATGGTGCGCGACGCGGGCCTGCAGCGGGACTAGACTTTGCAATGCTGCATTGTGATGGTCAGAGGTGCATTGAGGTGTGTCGTGCCCTTGGAGCTGCCGTTCAATCGCTTCGGCTCAAGACAGAGACCATCCTCCAGCGCTCTGGCGTTTATCGGGGAAGCTGCCAACTCCTGAGCAAGATCTGCTATCTTGCAGCAGAGATGCAGCATCCAGGAAAGATGTTCGCGATTTGCCAACAATCAGCCGATATGCTGTATCCAAGGTTGGCTGCGCAGGCAGGTGATGGGGCAAGCCTGGGCCAAGGACTTCTGCTGCACGCAGCGGCAGATCGGTCCACGTGCACCAGGCACCCCGAGCAGCTTTGAACGCAAGCTGAGAAACATATAAACTAATCACGAAGGACGAAGACGGCATGGTGGGGAATTTGGCTTGGCTTTCGCCGTAGCAGCATTCCAGGTACAAAAGAATAAAAGAAACACTTGTTCCTTGTTGCATAGGACGTGGGAGGGTAGTTGGGCTTAAATTTCATGAGCATCGGATTGAGAGGTCTCACAAGTCGTGCTTGGGGGAGAGGGGGTCAGCTCATTAAACCAAGGCGGCCAGCCGGCCCGTTTGAAGCATAACGCACATAGCATATGCGATTATTCAATCCTTCCCTTGCTCCATTGCTGTCCTCATTAGTCTTGTGCCTGCTTACTCTTTGGGCTCCCTTGTTCTCTCGCTCGCTTGGTCGATTCACTGGCGTATTCATTCTGTGACCGAAGCACAGTCATACTCCTTCGCCACTCTGTCAGACACTTTCTCAGTCACTAATCCCATGCAGAGACACTTACTTTCTCGTCTTTCGCACTGGCTCACTCCACTCACCATACTCAGCAGCTGCCTCATTTAGTGGCTCCGCGTCTCATGCGAACCTCATTCACCCAAATGAGTTTCTTGTTGATTTCTGCCCGCAATACCTCGTTGCAGCATCATGGCAAACACTCCAGTTGCTGTGTCATTCTCCCTGCTCGCTTCAGTCTCTCGTTCTCATTCGCTCACTTTGTCATTAGCCAACGCGATCACCAATTCCTTCGCTTCACCACCCGCAGTCGCTCCTCTCACTCTAGTCGTTCCTGGTCACGCACTCGATAGACTCCCGGCCTTCACTCTACGAACTCACAGCCCCCGGTCTCCTTTTCTTTGCAACCTCGCTTCGCTAGCTGAGCTTCTTCACTTGGACCACCTGCCATGGCTGTGCATGCTCGCATCTCCTGCTCCAGCGAAGTTCCGCTGATACTGGGGCTGTTGCTGAAGCATCCACCAGTAGCCACGCAGATGTTTGCATGACTAGGCTTTCGTCTCGATGCGAGCATGTCCTTGCTGTTGAACGGGTCGGGTTTGCCTAGGTTCAGGCTCGGCGACGCCGACGCCACCTGCGTGCGCGGCAGTTTCTTCAGGCTCCATTGAATTTAGAACGAAGCAAGCATGGCTTGGAAAAGCATATGCCTTCAAAGTTGGTCTTTCGTGCCGATATTCACACCGGTGCCACTGCCAGTGGTTGGCCAACGCCCTGACAGAGCGGATGCGAGGCGACATTCCAAAGTTGGATTGCGGCAAAGCCGCCAAGTCCAATGTGCAGCTGAAGGATGACGAAGGCAGGGTTTCATGCACCAGCCAGCAAGGTCATTCGCTAGACGGCAGAAGCTCGAGCCTGTGTTGCGCATGAGGCAGTGGGCGCAGAACTTCGGAGGCCAGGATCCTACTACCGAGGCTGCTTCAAAGTGCTGAGTCCTTTACAAACTGAAGTAGAGGCGCTTCCGGTGCCCACGACCAACGAAACCAGATGCGACTCTGGGGGGACAGCTTTACCGCCACAGGCCGTCGTCTCCTAGGAAAGCTCGGCGCGAGATGGTGAATGTAATGTACTGATGCACTGCACGCCCCAGGAGGAAGCCATGCCTGCGCCTCATGCAGCGGAGAGGCAGCAACAAGAGAAGCCTCTGCCTTCATAGCAGTCTTGCCTAATCGCTAGAAAACCAATGACAAGCTCAGCCTGCTCGTAAATGGAAACGGCTATAGGCTTGCGGGCTCAAACTGCCAGCAAAGACTTGACCTCTTCTCAAGACAGTGGGTTGGAAGGCAGTAGGCTTCCGAGCCACGCCTCCTTGGGTATGTTTTCGGAGATTTCCGCGACGCTTTCCGTTTCGGCGACTGTGGCCTGTGGCATAGTTGTCCTGTCCGTTCATGCTTTTTTGGGCTTTTGGGGTTTGTCGGGCTTATCCACGGCCTGGCAGAGCTGCTACCTTGACACGATACTTCGCTTTTTTCAACGGGTTCCAGATACTTACGAAAATCGAAACATCTTAGAAGGATCCTCCTGTTTTCCCGCTCAGTTCTCGGAAAACAGTGTTTTCCAGGGTCCAGGGTGTTTCGAATGGCGTTGCCTAGTTAGAAGATGAAATGCTGCAAGAGGCATCTTGTACTGTGTCTGGTACGAATCCAGTTTTCGTTTGCATCAGCATAACTGCCTGCTGCACGTCCGAAGTTCGCTTCAACGCCGCCATGTCGAAATCCCCGCATGCAAGGCAGGCTGTGCCAACGCCAAGTTTTCGTGAAACCAATTTGGAACGCGATATGCGCGTTCGAGTTTTGCATGTTGGATAAAGTTCTGCGCTCGAGGGAGGATGGCCTTGATGGAGGTTCGTGTCGGCCCCAAAAAACTATGTTGAAAGTAGCAGTCCCTCCGAAAATCGAGAGAGGAGATAGATCGCAAAAGAAAATATCTTCCTGGAGCCATCCCCTGGGTAGACAAGTTGAGCTGGGACAGGATTTTGCCCGCGGACCCGAAGGCAGGTACAGGGCGCAAAGCAGCCTTGCAGATTGCGTGCTGCCTTCTTCATGGGCAGGTCCCTTCGGAACTGTTGGAGGCAGGTGCCACTGCCAGGATCAGCTCCGGTACGGGCGAGCAGGCGCTTCGGACACCATGAGCCATGAGATGGTGTCAGCTACTTTCATGTGTCATGGCCAGCATGGGAACTCGAAGGCAAGGCCGGTAGAGCCGGTAGGCAAACGGAAGCTGCACAGGCTGTGCCAAAGGGGAAGGGAAAGGGAAAGTCCAAGATGCCACCGCCTCCAAAGGAGCGCTGGAAGTGATCAGCAGAGTCTCTTCAGCCACTGTTCAGCTATTCGCAGAATCGCAGGCAGCTGCCCCAAAGCCGAAAGCCGTGGCGCTGAAGCCCACGGCAAGTGCAAGTGCCGGTGTTGGCATGAGCGCATTATTAAACAAGGTGGAAGCGGTTGGCAAGAAGAAGCTGGTCTTGATTTCAGTTCTGCTGCCGGACTGACCCAACTGACCCAAGCCTTAAGCTCGCAGAGCAGCTGAGGAAAGATTTAGAAGAAGCCAAGGCACGCTGGCAAGATGCACTCTACGTGCCAGCCTCGCCTTTTGCAGGAGATTGACGACATCGATCTGTCCCAGATCGATCCAACTGCAGCCAGGGAGAAGGTGGTTTGCCCTCGCTGTGGGAAGGAAGTGCTGAAAGAGCACTTTGAGTCGCACATGACCGCGCATTCCAGCGATGCTCGCCTTCGCTGTTGATAGCGCGGCGTGCCTTCCCACTGCTGGCTGAGCAAGAGGAGCCCTGCTGTCACTGAGGAGATCCTTCCATGGCTATTTCTTGGTGGAGACACAGCTGGGAGTTAGTTCTAACATAATTACAATCACCATCGTAGTTTACTGTGCTGCTTGCAAGCAGAATCGGCATCAAAGGCAAGCGCAATCTAGAGAACGACAAGGAAATGACGATTCGAACAAATATCACGCACGTCCTCAATTTGGCGAACGATGTCAATTTGAAGGACGATTTCCGAGTGATTTACACGGAGTACAATCAGGAGCGAGACCTTCCTTTCGTGTACAAGAAGATCAGTTTCGGTGACACTGCAGATCAAAACATTTTGCCTGAGCTGGATGGCGCCTTGCAGTTCATCAACGAAGCTCATTCTTCCAATGAGCAGCATCATGTCCTGGTGAATTGTGCGCAAGGCGTGTCTCGATCGGCATCCGTTGTCCTCGCCTATCTCATGAAGTACGAGCGGATGAGCCTCCGCCAAGCATACGACCATGTTCGAGAGAGGCGAACAGTTGCAGATCCACGCAAGGAATCGCTTAAAGACGAAAGTTAGGGTCGAGGTGTGATTTGCTTGCCAGATTGCAACAGAGGCACTCCCTAGTTGATTCCACTGATCGAGGAGTTTGTGGATCAGCTCGCACACTTCGAGTGTCAAGTCTTTGGGCTGGACGAGCCGACATTCACCGGGGCCATTGCCTTTGAAGGTCGCACAATGCTCAACTTAGACGATCCGCCGCTCTGTGGCAGGTAATACTTGTCCTGGATTCGTGTTGGTTCTGCTCAATGGGCCATGGCGTGCGCACACATGCACACACACACATTGACTAACTGTCCTCAGGAAATCGAATCTAAGGCTAAGGAACCAGTTCTGACGATTCCGGCTATCTGGCTTTAGGGTTCAGGGTAGAGCTCGGGCTTGGGGGTTTCAGGTATACCAAGCTGGCAATTGACCGGCATGACATGGCAATACACGAACCTGCAAAGAGAACGGAAGTGCCGGCTTCTAGATTCGAGCGAATGTGCTGCGCCCAGTAGATCTATTTCGAAACACATTTCCGCCCCCTTGGAGACGAGCACTTTTGTGGGCCGTGGGCTTTCTGCATACTCAGGATGCCAATGCTGCAGCAGGGGCAGAAGGAAAGTGCCAGCCGACGCCCCGGTCCTTTGGATGCTGCACGCATGTTTGATGAAAGCTTCTTGGACCAAAATGTGAGGTGCAAAGGAGCTGCAGCAGACTCCCACAGTTCTGCAGGTGCTTCGGCACAAATCACGGCTCAAAGTTGGCTTGTGTAATGTTTTCGTCACATTGCTCTTGATTGGGCTCAGTCGATGCAGAACGAGGCAGAGAACAGCGTGATCGAAGAAGACATCTCGAACAAACCTGCGCGAATGGCGGCTTTATCTTACGAGTCTGTGTCCGCCTCTTGTCAGGCAAGTTGTTGTCACATCCAGTTGCTGTAGCAAGTGATGAGTTCATCTGGGTGTGCGCTTTCGCAGGGTCACATCTCCATGAGGTCGCGCATCGTTTGAGAGTTTAAGGATTGGTATAAGGACGAGAACCCCGCAGACAGTCCAACCAAGACCACTTCCGAGTGGTACTTGGACGGGAAGCCGCGGCCAAGCACTCGCACATCACAGACAGAAATCCATGCAATTATCGATGATATTGCGGCACCGGAGCAGGGCCATTAACCTGCATCTGAAGTGCCTTCAACCATGAAACACATAGTTCGATTCGAAGCAGCGCCGGGCGGAATACAACCCTGAGGTTGCGCTGTTGCCTAAGCTGGGTGCTTTCCAGCTGGCACCCGGTATTTGTCGGCTCGCTGTGGTTTGGCTGAAGTCAACCCAGACGGGTGGCACATGCAATACCGTTCCAAGTCTTTCCATGCAAGCAGCTACTGCCCCAAGCCTTGCCCTAATGCACTACAGAGACAGAATCGCAGAGCTCGCTGTTTCTGTGAAGCCGGCTCGGAGCACGGACAGTCTCGTATGCGCGTGAATTAAAGCAGGATCTCAGGAGGCTGCATCACATCGCAGATTCCGATCTCAGCGACAGTGTTAGCACCTGCCAGCCTGGGATGCTCGCTCACGCAGTCGGTCAACGCCATCGTGGAAAATTCGCGGCACTTGCTGCGAAGAGGGAAGAGAAGAGATGCATTATATAATATACATGTAGCCTCTGCTGTGCTGCAGGACTACAGCGCATCTGAGCTTACGGAGGTGTGGCCTCTCGAGCTGGCAGCCCTGCAGTAAGCACACCTAAGCACCAGAACGGAGGGATCACAATGCTAGCCTGTCGAGTCGCCACGAGTTGCGCGACTATCATGCGCTGTGCGTACATCTGTTTCCGCAAGACTTGTACGACCAAGGGCTGCATGGGTCTCACAGTTCGGTGCATTTCTCTATGTCTGCTGGTAATGCCTTCGGCTGCTGCACTTGGGTGAAAGGAATGAACTTGCGTTCGCTGCACTCGCACTGCCTTTGCTGATCTGTTGGGGTCTCACTCGTGGCGACTTCACACTGATCCCCGACCCAGCAAACTTGCACAAAGGCCGATTTGCATTTCGTCCCAGACGGTGAGCTTTGCCTGCTTCGCTTTGCCGGGAGACATTTAAGTAAAGTTCGTGCAGCCCAAGCTTCACTCGTTTGATCTCAACGCCGACTGAAAGCAACGACACCCTGGGGGAGTTCCAGCGGCCACAGGACACAAGACTGCGCTGGACGCACAGGCCGAACCCGAAACGCCCAGCAAGAGCGAGGGTTGCATCGGCCAATTTGGCAAGACAGCTGGTTCTCCAACCCAGAAGCTCGAAGAAGGACGGACAGGGCGCAGTACTCATCCAGTCCAAGGCGCCAAAGCACATGTTGGCGGCAAACCAGGGTAGCCTGCTCCGCCAACGGACGAGGCGTTTCCCCCCAGTTGCACCGCACCAAGACCAAGTCGCGGCTTGCCGCGGTGGGGGCACTGCCTGAAACTGAAAGCAGCACCCCGGACAAAGCCGGGCAGCACGCCAAGTGTGCGGCTTGTGGACGGTGGAGTGGTCAGGCACATATGTTTGCATTTGAAAATTAAAGCATGAAGATTTTGCCCCAAATGCTGCAGGGTTCAGCGACGCAGATTTGAATTCGCTTCGCGCCCTCCCGACCGCTCAATCAGACTCGTCATACTTGTGCGGCTGTTGAAGTGAGACACTTGCACTGCCAGTCGCCGCTTGCCGAGAGGTCTCCGTTCTGGATGCCTTTGCCGTGGTGAGGGGCGCTGCCCTTGTCATGTGACGGTTCCCGGCACGTCTAGTGTGCGCTCGCGGGCATTGCTGGTGGTAATCTCTTTTGGCCCAAGGTCTGGCTGAGGCGTAAAGGTAGCCTCGTTACGAAGTTGCAGAAACGACCGCGACAAAGTTACCAGATGTTCCCATTAAATCCCAGCAAAGACTCGAGCAAGAAAGCAGAGGCAGCAGCAGGGTTTCCGCAGACTACCAGCCATGGCACCACAGCTGCGCGAATTGCCAGACTCAGTGGTGCAACTGCTTGTGAGACATGTCTGAAACAGAAAGCGCGAAGCTCATGGAGCGACCGGTGCATTCAGAAGCTCTGTCTTCTCAAGCGCTGTCACCGAGGATATGCTTGGTGGACGCCTCATATGACTGCCGCACGTCTTGCACTGGAGCGAACCCATCGCCGCTAATCGAGAAACTGGCCTAAAAGGCGACATCGCATCAAAGCACTTTCGGGAGCATTTCAATGGCAACGACGCTGCTGAGGATACTTGGTGAGCACAGACAAGCGAGTTCTGACACTGCTTGTTGCAGATGAGGAGTTTACAGCGAGCGCAATCAGGAGCATTGCTAGGGAGATGGAATCTTCAGCTGCATACAGTTAAGTCTCGTGTTGTAAGTGTCAGGCCCGTCCGACTCATTTGTTCACCTCTCTGCAGATCAATTGCGTGCACTCAGGCGCATGATGGGAGCTTGCAATTCCTTCATGCCGCAGCCTGACTTAATTGCATACATTTACATGTTCTTTACGCACGAAGGCAGTCTTTTCTTGGGTCGAAAGTGGTACTCCAAGGCCTTCTCTTCTGAGAGCGATGCTGCGAAATCATCGTCTTCGTGCCCTCAGCTGGAGTTCAAGCCGGCACCGCGCGTCAAAACGTCTGAAGGCCAGGTCATAGCTCTGAGCGTATATCATGTGTGGCATTCCCTCGCCTGCATTGTCCGAGTTGCGAGAGTCCAAGTCAAAAGTAGCACGGCAGGCGGGGCCGAAGTGGCCAAAATCAGTCTATTGCCCTGGGTGGCGCTCACCGAAGGCATTCTGGCGGCTCGGTACATTCTGGAGGGCTCAGGGTGTACGATGGCCTTCTCATCACGGATGTGGGAACACGCTGTTGGAGTCGTTTGAGGTGCGGTGTTTGGAACATCTTGGTCGCAACTTCGCAGTTAAAGGATGGTCATGGCTTTTATGTTTCGTGACTTCGCTCTCTCCCTTCTTCCTAGAATTAAAGGTCACAGCGAAGCTCCTGCATTGGTAAAGCCCCCGAAGTGCTGAGGTTCCGACGGGGCTCGCGCCATGTACACCTGCCGTGGCCTCCATGCAGCTGGCAGGGCCGTGACAAGCTTTTGGCTCCAGGTCGTTCTCCTGGAGGAGTTTAGACTAAGCAGCTGCGAGGATTTCCAGATGCTATGTGACATATGAGACATGTATGAGGTTTTATTAAGACCAGCTGCTGCCGGAAGACTTTCGGACTGGTTGTTTCTGGGCAAAACGGCACATGAACTAGAACCAACCTCCGCTTCTTGAAGTTTGAACACGTGAGTTTCATGAACTCCTGGACTTCTCTGTGCCTGTTGCCTCTTCTACAACTGACATAACGGAGCTGTAGCCCGCGCAGTTGGCACTCAAGGTTTGACCCTCGCCACTGCCATCAAGGTCTCATCTTGTCGGTTTTTCGTCTAACCACCTACTTGTAGGTTCGAATCTCCACAATGACGAGCATCTACTTCATCGGCCTGGCCTATCGCTTTTTCTCTCCTGTGCTAGCTTATGCGAACCCTCAAAGTCTGAACCCTTTGGTTGCGCCTGAAATGTTTTGCCGTGCCTGGGCGGGAAGAGTGGAGAGCGCTTCCAAAGTTTTCTTCGGTAGTCTTCACTGTAGAGTGTGTTTTCGGTGCTGAAAGAAGCCTTAACAGTCTCGTCTCTTTCTGTCTCACCCTTGGACAGCTACCAGTGGCTCTTTGATTTTACAGGAGAGTATAGCTGGAGAACCTCGTTCGTCTGCGGCCGCTCGATTTGCAGCTCGACTCGCAGATTTCGCGGAGATGCGGTCTGACGAGGTGACCGGTCTGGCACTGCGACTCTTGGCCGCGAGGTTTCACCTTTTTGGAGTCGTTTCTTTGGCATTTCATGGTTCATGTCGTCAGATGAGGCAATACTGCCGTCAACTCGTGCTTCAGACAAGCCGGTGAGATGCTTCTGCGCTCGGACGATTTGCAGAGGTACCGTCAGCCCGCCTTAGCTACTCTTATCTGTTCTTGCGGTCCACGCTGTGCTTTGACCGTGCAGCGTGTTTCTAGCCGTTCTAACAACTCCACCCGATAGTAGCAAAATTTGCCTAGGCAACGGGCGTGGGCACTCGTGAGAATATTACCCAAAGACCTAGAGAGTCCGAGCATGAGCGCCGAAACCGCGAAGGCAGAAAAGCAAGCCGCGATCAAAATATGTGTACCCCAGGTACTTACAACCTTGTAGCAAACGCACAGCCCAGAAGTCCATAAGCCTTGGGGCTTCACAAGCTTGAACACGGAACAGTCCCAGCCCAAAAGTCTCAGGGATTGTGCTAATGAGACCCTCCGAGTCCTTAGGTTGCTCACTGGGTATAGTTCCTTGCAGCGGATTCCCTAAAGATAGGCTGCTTTGACACTTCAGTGAGTTTTGTCGAGAATCACGTCGCGGATTCATCTCCTTCTTTTCGCGGACACATGCCTCATCTGGAGAGTCCGAGTGCGAGTGCCGAATCCAGAAGCAGCCCAAGGCGAAAACGATATCCCATCAGGACACGTCAAGCCGAAAAGCCCTAGACCGCAAACACTGCGAGCCGAAAGTCACATCTGACAGTAACAGAGTCCGAGCTTGAGAGCGTAAAATATAGACCCCGCGTGCATCGGTGAACGTGAACTCAATCCAAGCGGGCGGTGCTGTTCCCCCTAAAACAACTGTCGCAAGACCAGAACGAACCCTAAGCCGTAGCAGCCGTGATGCCCTGCAAACGAGGTACCAAGACCCCTTGGAAACCCAAGAAGCTTAGTCCCGAAAAGCCCGGCCCGTCATTTTCAACAGCTCTTTTTGCAGCTCCACTCTCCACGTTTGTGCCTCACCCACTCCCACCCTGCCAAGAGGTGTATGCTGCAAAAGTCGTTTGGCGTTCTCAGTCGATTGATCTTGCACTCCTTCAGTATGCAGGAGCTCAGCCACATCATTGCACGTGCTTACCGCTATTCCGAGACGACCTCTTCATTTATTTGACGTTTCGTTTCTTGAATGAGGAGCTTTGTGCCATTACTAGTCATGGCAGGCTGGCGACTCAGGAAACTCCGAGCGGAGCAGCTGCGCAGAACGCTTTCTAGAACAGACTCAGGCTTTTTCCAGCTCTTCGTCGGTTGGACCTAATTCAGTGTTCCCTGTCCGGCGAAGTCTTCAGTGAAGCTCATCGAAAACTATCTTGCAAAATGCATTCTTGGTGACAGTCCGCAACTTGTTGTGTTGTGCTTGACCTGATCAGCTCTTTGCAGCTGGCGAGGAACTGGAAGCGCTTCCAGCTTTGACCGGATTAGGCATTTGGGGCTGAACCTTGGCTGGCACCAGTTCTAGGTCCACGAGACCTGCGTGGGAATCCAAACACCATGCGCTGGCACCCACCAAGGAAGAACACGCAGATGATGCTGCCTTCTTGTTGGCCATCTGGGCTGCAGAAGATCGAGGAGCTTTGCTTGGATCCAGTCGAAGCGGCTGGACCTTGGCCTTCTTTCCAAGGCAGGCAGCACCTGCTTTTCGAGCAGTCGCATCCGAGAGCATGACAGGTGAGAAGAGCAGCCCTTCGCGTCTACATCTGCGGACAACAAGGCCGCGCTTGGCACTTCCCGCGCTCCCATGCGGTCTTCAGGCTGCGCAGCTTCAGGTCTATGGGTAGGATGGCACGGCTCAACATCAAACGTGGAAAGGTGCTCTCACTGACAACATCGGCCAAGGACAAGACCGTCTTGAGCGATGCGGTTCAGAGAATCGGCACGGGTTGTGCGTGCGCTCAGGACGTGAGCAACCCGTTTGTCGAGGCATTCGCCCTGCTGGATAAGTAACTTGTTTGTCACAGAGTGCTTGTACCTTGCCCTGGAAAGACCACCCAGTGCAAAGAGCCATGGATGTACCAAAGCCATCCGTCATGCCATCATTTATACACTGGCTTCCCCAAACAAGCTTTTATCCCGGTCAGATTGCTGTTTGTGGAGAATTAGAACGACCTGCACACCGTATCGTTGTTCAGATTCGTCGGGCGGTGTGTAACGGGGTTGGCAGAGCAAAACTGTTGGTCTTGGCGTGGGAAACAACGGATCATGCCACTTGGATTTCTCCACTCTACGCTTGTGCAGAGCCAAAACTGCGGCGAAATTGACGGATTGAATTCGAAGCCCAAGGCATGTGGATGAAATGCTATCGGCCTTCCACTGCCTCAACGATCTCGTCCTCGGCGGCCATGTCAAGCTCGGCTCTGCCAGTCACTTTCCTATGTCAGGATGACGGGCCTGTGGTCGGATGTACGTCGACCATGGTACTATAGCTGAGGCATGGCGAGGTTAGCAGCATACAAAGGAATGCGGCGACTGAGCTTGGCGGGTTGCGATGGGCTTGATTCTGATGAGAGCTTCCACCTGTTTTCATCCCATGCCTGGCATGGCCTTGAGCCAAAGCCTGCACGTTTGGCCATGCTCACAGCGTACAGGGGTCATCAGTAAACTACTACACTGCGAAACCAAGGAGAGCTTTGAAGCTCCAGGCAGCCGATGTTTCAAGACCGAGTCCATGAAATTTGTGCTACCCCAAGGGTGCCATTGTATTGCGCCTGCTAGCTCCGCCGAGACCTGGACATGCAACAGTATCATGTGCCGGGGCTTGCGTAGGCCCAGTGACTTTCTGCGCCACTGTTTTGCCCGAATTCTGTCTCAAATCCACATGCGAGGACTCATCTGGAACGTCACCGTTGCGTTC